CGTGGTACGTGTAGGGACAAAATTATCCCTTATTTTATATACTATACCATAGAAAATTTCTACAGCTTCCTCGACTGACAAAGCATTTGCCAATATTGACCAATCGGTTTGAGAAAAGTGATTACAAATTTTATCATAATCGGCTCGATTATACATATAAATATTTCGTTTAGGGATTGCTAAGCCATCCAATTCCAACAACGATGACTTAATAATGAGAGATTTATGGTAGGAATCTTCAGGCACTAAGGGATCAGGGCATGTGCAGACAGACAGAATATTGTTACTCAAAACAAGGTCCAATATACCTCCAGCACTGTTTTTACAATAATTAAATTGTTTCAAATCGCAGTCGTAAAATGTTTTAATTATGTTATTAGCGAGCAAATTTTTAGCATTTGAAGGCTGAAGGCCTTGATCTGTTGGAATCCACTGAATGTTGCTCATATTAAAATCACCCATTATTAAGAATTCGTCTTCCTTAAAATTGTCAATAATATTGGTTAAGTTACGCAGAAAATAATCTAATTGAGTACTAAACGTGTTACCTTTGTTTTGATTACATAAGTACAAGGTGCAGATGTGAAGCTTAATTGACTTTTTAACATTAGGATTACGTAATGTTAATGTGACCCATATGTCCTCAGCTGAGGAATTCCAATCAATTCTGTGAGTGCATTTATACTCCCGACGTACCGCAATCAAAACCCCGCCACCTTTAGACTGCTGTGTTAGGTCGTAATCCCTATCGCGACGATATACTAAGTACCTTTCATCAAAAAGTTCACTATCGGCAATGCTATTTGATAACCACGTCTCAGTTAACGAAATGACGTCATAATTGCTCATACACAGTTTACGCAAAAAAACATCTGTCTTTGTTCGGAGTCCTCTGCAATTCTGATAATAAATATTAACCATTTATAAAGCAATATTTACCGCAAAATGAACCACCAAATAACACATACTCATTACAATTCCCTACAGCCACACTTAAGAAATATACGTTCCATACCCTGATATTATGAATCCTACCATACATTATACGTATGCACAACAACAATGTTAACACTTTAATTAAAATATATATGGGTATTTTGCACAAAAATATGTAAGAAATAGATAGACTGCCACAGTAAAAAAGTAAGGCCATAAGTAACACTAAACAAGTCTTAGTTTTACTATAAATGAGAATAAACACTATTAATAATTTCGTATAAGTGGGTATCAAAATAAAAACATTGAATAAAAAGCTAAGGCACCGCGTACATAAGATAAGTTTATAACGCATAACAACATTCCAATGATTCGCTACACAAAGGCGCACCTGTGAGTTGCCAATGGCTCTCAAAGTATGTGGATCTATATTGTAAATAAAGCAGTTTGCAATAAATATTCGTAATGGCTGAATGGCAAAATCTGATTCTAAACCATTTTGTCCAGATCTTGTTCGTTTTTTATAACAATAATCTTTGATTGGACATTTTTCCGAACAAATATTTTGCAATTTTTTACCCACACGAACTCGAATTCCCTATCCTTGGCGATGCCTTTTGTCTTAGTAAGCAACATCTTGTTTTGTACCGTTAAATGATCGTTAATGTAGATACGACCTTTGTCACCTAGATCAATGTCAGTTGAACACAAGGTTTTGAAAGACCGAGAGGCGGCAATAAAGTTTTCCTTCGTGTACCGATTAACAAAAGATACAATTATTGGTTTAGTTTTTTGGTCTCGCGACGGAATCCTGGCAACAAAATTTATATCTCGCTTATCAATAGGGTATGTTATCTTTGTTCCAATCTTGGTCACGATGTTAATCAGATTTTCATGATCCTTCATAGGAACACCCTTGATTTCAACATTGTTGAGACGCGTCCACTGGTTTTTTTCATTAAAATCTTCTTCTAATTTGTAGACTCGATCTTTCAGCTGCAGGATGTCATCTTGCGCTTTTTCAACTACAATTAGTCTTTGGCTCACAGATTCTAGCCGCTCAGAGTAAGACCCCAAGGTTGACTTCATCTCAGATAGTTCAGTCTTGATCTCTCTGATACCATTAAGGAGATCCAACATGGGCGCAAGCGTTAGTTTGATGTTGCTTAGCTCCTGCATGACCTGGTCATTTGAGATGGGCTTAGGTGATTTGCAACCCGGGCACCTCCAAGTTGCCTGACGCTCAGCACCAAGTCGACGATAACCGCTCTCCGTGATACCCGAACAGGCATAATCAAAATGTTTTTTACAGCCACTGCATAAGATAGCATTACAATCGGGTACTGCGTCACCACACCTACCGCACTGAACCATAATTGAAAATTATATATAACGAAAATATCAAAAGTTTGAGAACCGCTGATGATGAGCCGGCACGCGTGTGACCAATAGCGAATCTACCCGAGAACTGATAAATAGGTCTATTTTATGTAAATAAAGATTCGTAATTGAATAAAACAATAGAAAACAGCATTAAATAAATATAAAACTTACCTTTTCCGAAAAAATACGGGATAAAACAAGACACAAAACGTTTATTTCACACCTTGTCGCCGTGACAAGGTGAACGTGACGCTAGTTTCGAACTAACTTTTTTTGATAAAAATTTAACGACAAAGGTGACTGACGTTTGTTTATCGTTCGTTCATGCATTAGGTCGAATTAAAACAATTTTGAGCCTTAGATGTATTTGTTTTAAGTATCTGTACTAAAGCACCGAGAGCCTTGGAGCCTTAAAGCTTAAAATAAAATGAAACGTTCAAAAATTTAAATATTACCATACATTTTAGGTAAGTTTAAGACAATAATTTTGATAATCTCTTTCCTAAAATAGTGTTTTCCTGACCACATTTCCCGCTTCGGAAAATAATCTTTCGGATGGAGCAGAAATGGCCATCACAGAGAGATGCTTTAGAGCAGATTCAGTTAGTTTAGGAAAAGTCTATTCAGAGCTCTTTCAGACATTGAGAGGATCTACCATAAGATCCGATTGCGGTACCGCAACGCATAAACCAATTCCATATTTTTGACCATTGACGAGTTAGATGCCATTATTTTTTCATGATGTATTATCGACCAAGAAATTGGTTTACCACTTTAAGGCTGAATATCATTTGCACGTACAAAACATCAAGGGCTATTTTCGCTTGACAGATTAATAACTGCCACGTCAGAATCTGTCATTCCTGTTTATTTAAACTCAGAACTAATGGCTTAATGGCTTAATGATGGCATTAAAACGTTTTGTTTAGTTTCGACGTAAAATAATTGAATTTTGAATCCAGGGAATTAAACTTTATCATATATGTTTTTAATAGATTTAAAAACGTCCAATTTCCTGCTAGTAGCGTAAAGGGTTTTAGGATTAATAATAAACAATGATTTATCATTTAAAAATAACATAAATTTATTAACGTAACAGTATCATTTAATTGTAAAAAAATTATAGGGAAATATCAGCCTAATAACGCGTGTTTCCACCATTAGCTTCGGTGACTGCTAACAAGCGACTTCTCATAGAGCCAACGAGGCGTGAACAAATGTCTATCCCGCGCAGAGCCTCCCAAACTTCATGGCAATGACTATCGATGGCATCTCGAGTTCTCTCATTGCGGTGATGCCATCGCTGCACCATAAGTCCCAAAAGGTTTTCGATCGGGTTAAGATCTGGACTTTTAGACGGCCATGGAATCAAGTTAATGAATGAATGTTGATCAAACCAGGTACGAGTCACTCTAGCTGTGTGTAATCTGCAGTTGTCTTGTAGAAAATTAAATTGAGGCAGATCGCTTTCCGGGTAGACGTTCCGGACGGTTGGCAACATAGCATTTTCTAAATTATCCACATAATCTAAAGCGTTGGATTTCGGAGGTAGTCTGCTTAATTCTCCGACTCCATCTGCCGACATCCAGCCCCAAATATTTACACTGATTCTACCAGACTCCGTGGTCGGCACAATATGTTCTTGAGTGTATCTAGTATTATTGTAACGCCAGAGAATCATTCGACCATGTTGGCTAGATTTGAACGTTTTTTCGTCCGTAAATATTGTAGTAGACCAATCGAAATTCAAGTACTCCCGGGCAAAATTTAAACGAGCCGCTTTGTTAGCGTCGGTCGAATAAACTTTTTTAGCGTGATGTCTGTAATGCAATCTCATACTATGCAAATGCTGCCGAATGGTCTCTTTCGTAACATCGAATTCTTCTGCAAAATCGCTGGTAGAAGTGAAGCCGTTCTCTTCGTACTGACGTCTCATTGTTTCTCTTTGCTCGCTGGACAGTGCAGGCGGCCGACCACTTCGCCTATGATCTTGAAGATTACCTTCTTCCCCTTCACGTCTTATCCAAAAACGTGTCGTATATCGCGATATGTTCAGTTCACTCAATCAATATCACACTCAATATCACTTATGTTGTATCCTAACCGATGTAATGATATAATTTCGGCTCTTTCCTGTAAGTTTAAATTACGTGACATTTTCTTTACAGTAAGTGACTCGAGTTGATCAATAACTGACACTTGACAGATCATAAGCCAAAAGCGATTCGAAAATGAATTCGTTTTTTTTAAGTATGGTATCTAGCATAAACCTCCTTGATTTATAAGGATAAGTTGGTTTGTGTTTACATAAAATATTCTCTATTGCGTTGACATCACAGTTCAAGTTGCATGCTCTTTTAACCATTGCTCTGTGATTGGCTCACAGTTAACCAATTACGTTAATGTAATACAGTAATCCTTAGCGAATAATTATGTTACTGGGAGATGTCATCAAAAGTGGTAAACCAATTTCTTGGTCGCCTATACGCGCCATATCTTGTCCGTCGACTGTCGCTTTTGATGAAACAGATGATTCAGAACTAGACGCTCCCGAATTGTCATTAGTAATCCAATTTAAACAGTTCTTGATATAATTTATTTAAAAAAAAAGTCAAATTTCAAACGGATATAAAGAGTATAAATGGCACAACATTGATTCATGTATATCGGGGAAAATCACTTTACTTTGATATCTCCACTATCATATTTATAGAAGACACTAGAGAAACTGAAAACAGGGCAACACAAGGGATTACTGGTTTCACAGCACCACCTTTATATAGTCTTAAGGACATAAGAACTGAAGAGATGAAGCAAATCCCTCCTGACACCAATACAATGATTTCGCTCGCCCTTGTCATAGTCAATATTGTTTTACCAGCTTCATCATCACTGTTGTTTGTGTCTTCTTTCAGTTGTATGAGTGCATTGTGATTCTCTTGTCGATGGATGCAATGGTAGCAGTCTATTGGATGTCCGCCAACACTGCATTTCCATTCTTTTGGGTGTGTAGAGCATGATTCCATAAAGCTACATGCGCTTGAGGCTTCTGTTTCTCCAGATATTGAGAATAACTCACCGCATGTGTTTAAAGCGTGACGTGCTGCTCGGGGATAGCTGGGGCTGATTCGTCTTCCTCATACAGTGAAAGGTCATTACTTGAGGGGCACAGTTTATTACTCACAACACACACAGTACAGAGTAGTATACAAGTACGTAAAATCACTCAAATAGGCACTAAGAAACTGTCTTTTTATTATTTTGTATAATTTTTATTACAACTAGGTTAACTTATGTACGGACGCGCACACCGAGAGAGCGAAAAAAACTCTTTTTTTTAATGTCAACATGCCATGACAACATGTTCGCCACCAGAAAAGAAGCCTTTTACATTGCAAAGTTACCTAAATCATGTAACTAAGAAAGAATAATAGTTACAACAAACTTGTTAGAAATCAAACAGAACAGTTTTGTTAACTCAATAAACTTATACCTATTATTACTGAAAATAAGTAAGATTATACTTATTATTACTTATGACTATAAGGAACTTCTATGAACATCATAGTAAGTACAAATTTTTATCAGACACTTCTTATCACTTGCCAGTTATATATCTTATACCTTATTCGGCATGGAATTGTGCAAAGAACCAAGTTATATGCTTATGCTAAATTATCATCCACTGGTAGAACACAGATACCTGACAAGGAGCGCTTATAAGTTTTACCATTAGGAGCAGTAACTTCTATCGCCCTAACCTTCCCCATCTTTACCTGGAAAGACTTTGGAGACTCTAGCCAATGGCCAATGCAACCAACATACCTTCTGTCACATTAGGTACGCTTGATTGCCATTTTGATCTACATTGCAATGAGTTTAAATAATATTTGTGCCATATAGACCAGAAACATTGTTTTGCATGTTCACAAACCTTCCAAAACTTTAGTCTGTTAGTAGGCAAGTCGGAAATATATTTTTCAGGGTAAGACATTTTACCACTACCTGTTAAGAAATGACCAGGGGTCAAATAACTGAAATCGTTAATATCGGAGGACATAGGTACGAGAGGCCTCGAATTAATTATGCCCTCTATCTGTACTAATATAGTATTTAGTTGTTCGTAGGTAAGAACTACTTTTAGCAAAATTCTTTTCAGGTGAAATTTTGTACTTTTCACCGCAGCTTCCGCCAGGCCAGCGAATACGGACGAGTAATTAGGCACAAAATGAAACTATACCTTGTTGGGCCGAAAAATATTGCACCCGTGTTTGATGTTCTGAGGTAGCCTGTAACCGATACAAGTCAGCTAATTGGTTCGCCGCACCCCTGAAATTCGTCCCATTGTCAGCGAAGACTGAGCAGCCCTCGTCTCGCTATGAGGCGTTTGAAGCAGGCTAAAAATGATTCAGTTGTTAGATCTGATGACAGTTCTAAATGCACTGCTTTGGTGAAGAAACAAACGAACACACATATGTATCCTTTTGTTTCCACCGACCTCCTAATTCTACTATTTTTAACTGGGAGGGGCCCCGCGAAGTCTACAGCAACCTTAAGGAAGGGCTTGCAGGCTGTAATGCGCTGCTGCGGTAGTGATCCCATTAGTTGCCTTGCAGACTCTGCTTTCATCCTAAAACACACAAGACATTTGTGAGTTATTTTCTTTATTTGCCGCAAAGCATTTATGAGCCAGTATTTCTGATTTAAAATGGACAGAAGTAATTTGGGACCTGCATGAAACAATCTACTATGTTCGGACCTAATCAAGAGTTCAGTGACCTTAGATTCCTTATGTAATATTATTTGATGTAATAATAATAATAATAATAAAAATTCTTTATTTAAAACTAAAAACACAGATTACAATATTTCAAATGTGTTTGATAATGACTGCATTAGTGAAACACTGTGGCGCAGTCACTAACGCCCACCTTTGGATCTGATGCAAACGTTCCATTTTATTCTACCACATTACAACTCTAAAAACTAAGCATGTGGAGTAAAACGTTGAGGATTTGAAAGTGTATGTGTGTTGTGTGTGAGTGTGTGTGCACGTGTGTGTGTGTGTCTGTGCGAGCGTGTGTGTGTGTCTGTGCGAGCGTGTGTGTGTGTGTGAGAGAGAGAGCGTATGTATGTGTATCTGTGTGAGCGTGCCTGCGTGTGGGAGTGCATGTGAGTGTGCGTGTTGCGTTATATAATAGATGCGACTAAGTCTTCGGTGTCTTCGTAAGTTAGACCAAGCAGCCATTCAGTAACTCGCGATTTACATTCTCGCATAATAGTGGGATAAATGTTCAAAATTTTATTTACTTTGTTATACAATGAGGGGGCAAAGAAGTAGAAGTGTCGCTTAGCAAGTTGCGATTTACACAACTGTATTATGCAAACTTTGTCTATTCTTCGTTTTTCTATATTAGGAATATAAGGGAGATCTGCGTGTTTACGAAGTAAAACCGTTAATAAGAAGAGCTTTCTTACTGTTAAAATTTTTAACTCATGGTATAGCTGAGATGTAGCGTACCATATGGGCTTAAATGACATGATTTTTAATACACCCCGGTGAGCTCTTTCGAGAGTAAGGAGTTTGACTTTACCTGCACAGCCCCAGGCCGCGATACAATATCCTGCCACTGACTGTACCAACGCCAAAAATATAATTTTAAGTGTAGGGAAATCAAGAACCGAACGCAGCCTCTTGAAAAGATACATGAGTTTTCTAATTCTGCAGGTAGTTACTTTTACATGTTCCTTCCAAGAAAGATGATTGTCAATCCAGACTCCAAGATATTTGACTCTGGATTCACAAGCGATTTGCAAACAGTTACAGATGGTTTCTTTATCACAAGATGGTATATGGGAATAAAGGACAAAAGAGGGAGGAGGAAGAGAGACTGAGTTGGGTGAGAAAGTGAGACACTTGGTTTTGTCTACGTTTAGTGTAAGAAAATTTCGAGAAAGCCAGTGAGTTACTGTAGACAATGCTGCCTCAGCATGAGATTGAGTATCATTCCAATCTGCCCCATTTACAAGTAGAACAGTGTCGTCAGCGTACGTTATTATTTTGCAATTTCTTATAGCCAATTTGCAAAGGTCGTTTATGTATATTAAAAACAGGGTAGGTCCAAGGACACTACCCTGGGGCACCCCAAAGAGCAAGGGTTCACGTTCGCTTATGACACTACCCATCCTAACATACTGAAAGCGATCCTCAAAATAGCTTTTGAAGAGATTGTGGACAACGCCTCTAACGCCAATACACTCCAGCTTCCCGAGTAGGGTGGAAATAGGAACAGTGTCAAAAGCTTTTGAAAGGTCTAGAAATATAGCAGTCGATTTAAGGTTTTTATTTAGATTTATGGTAATAGAATCAGTCAAAGTTAAGACGGCATCTTCAGTAGATTTACCAGCCCTGAAGCCAAATTGATTATCAGCAAGAACGTTATTGCTATTTAAGTAGTTTATTAGTCTAACATTGATTATTTTTTCTAATATTTTAGAGAAAGTTGTAAGAATTGAAATAGGTCTATAGTTCTGAACACTGCCCCTATCACCACCCTTGTATATCGGTAAAACAAGACCAATCTTAAATGCATCAGGGAAAACACCCCCTAGAAGACATAAGTTAAAAACATGTACCAGTACAGGTACTAGAATAGGTCTAGCCAGTTTTATGATCGACGCTGGTATGTTATCCCACCCAGTAGCCAATGTGTTTTTAAGGCCAGCAATAATATTATCAACCTCAGCACAGTCAGTAGCAAGAACAGACATCGAGGTCAGAGGAGGAACCGGCACATCAAATTTAGGGTAAATAGTACCACAATTTGATGTTATTTTTGTAGCTAAAGTTTTTCCTACGTTAGCAAAATAATTGTTGATGTTATTGACAACAAGGATCGGATCATCAGAATTTAACAGATCATCACCAGATATGCGTTGTTTATCCATGTTTCCATATTTCTTAATAAGTTCCCACGTAGCCTTCGAATTCTTACTAACACGTTGAAATTCACCACGTTCGTATTCTTTTTTAACCTTTTTCAATAAATTATTGCAGAAGTTTTTGTAGCGGTTGTAAGTCACAGATGCCATGGTATTATCTGGGTCTTTTTTTAATTTAAGGTAGAGTTTGTCACGGTTTTTCATACAACGTAGAAGACCGGGAGTTATCCAAGGTTTAATTATTTTTTTCCGGCTAGGAATTACCAACGTACGTGTATAGTTTTTGACAATAAGCGAGATTGTGTTTACAAGTAATGACGCCGCTTCATTTGCATTTTGACAGGACATTATAGGACCAAAATTGGTTACCTCCAATTCACTTATACAAGCATTAATGTCTAGTCGCTTGATGTTTTGTTTATTTTGCTTGGATTTAATACTAATGCTACAACTCAGGATTACAGGCAGATGGTCAGTAATACACGTGTCGAGAACTAGGGTGGTAGCTTTAGATTTCACCTTTAAAATTACGTGATCCAAACAGTTATTATTTCTAGTAGGAAGGTTGTGAGCAGGCATAAGACCATGCAACATTAGTGTATTAAGATATCGATCGTGATCACTGGCGTTACTGTTGGGTCCTATATTAATGTTTATGTCACCAATGATCGCTATGTTTTGAAAGTGCTTTAAAGAATGTAGGGTATCATTTAAAGATTTTGTAAAATTGTCCGTGTGTCTAAAAGATGGTGATCGATATATAGCAATAAGAGCAAATTGATCTTTATGTTTTATAATGAGACAATTGGAATCAGCCAAATTCGGTATTTCTACAGAGCACTTTATATTTTGTCTTATATAAATTACCACGCCGTCATTTTGAAGACGATAGTCTGATGTGTGAAAAGTATAGCCACTTAGTGTAGGGATAATAGGACATTGGCTCAAGCGGCACTCCGTTAAAACTATAATGTCCATCGGTTTCCGAATCCTGTGTAGCAGACTTTGAAATTGGTCAAAATTACGTGAAATACTTCTGATATTAAGCTGGATTATATTTAGGGAAGTTGCGCTATCACTTAAGTACAGATCACATTGTTCAGGACTACAAATACGAGATTCGGATACTTCTAGTTGTTCAATATCATTTACCACATCTAAGCTATCCATAAATAATTTGGAAATGCAGATAACCTATGAATTTTGTACGAATGGAGTATGAGTTTTTTATAGATAAATTGAGGCTGTATAGTTCTTGATACTAGAATAATCACACAAAATAAATAGTTAAGTCCGATGGTAACTTTGACCGCTTTGTGTTTATGTGTAGTAGTATGTGAATGAAGTGTAATGTGTTTGTCTTTTAAGTGCAAGTAGTAATGAGAATGTTTAGTGTAAAAAGTATACAATAAAAACGTTAACATTGGTAGGTATACAAAGTAGTGTAAAAGATAGAGGCTTATTAACATGTAAAAATTAAAAACTTCCATTTCAATTGGTAGACAATTTTCGGGGTATTGTAGTGAGTACAGATATAGTATAAAGTAGTTACATAAAATCAAAAGTAGTTCTTTAAAATTAAAGTAAAATCTAGCTAACAAAATTTGAGAAACTAGTCACTTTGGCACCTTGCTCAGCTCACTTTCATCTTTTATTATGTAATGAGGGGCGCCGTCGATTTTACGTAAGTAGATTTTTCCACGTGATGACCAGCTATATTTGAAATTATTCACCCTTGCAAAGTCTCGTACCAGGAAAAATAATCTTTTCATTTTTGCTGAGAGATTTTCCGATACATATATCGGTTTAATAGGCCCGGCCATTTTAAGTAATTCTGTGGTTAGTGCAGAAGACTTTTTAAACTGCTTGTACATATAGATAAACTTTTCCTTCATAATAACGCTCGTGAAGTCCACGATAATGGGCTTGTGTTCCGAACCTTTACTTCGAGTGCGGAAAACATCCCTTACTTCATGGGATTGAATGGTTACATTGATTAATTTACCAAGGTTAGTGATTGTATTTAATAATTGAGGCTTAGACTCTTTATTCGGTACAGGAATATTCCGAACTTCTAAACATGTAGCCCTAGTATAACACTCAGCCCTTTCCAACTTATCTTCTAAAGTCCGGATGTAGTCGTGATTAGTTTGGCGGTCTGACTCCAATTTTTCAATTTTTTCCAGTAGGGAATCATACGATTTAGAAAGGAAGTCTGCAGAATAACAAATCTCAGAGTTCTGTTGTTTGATTTCCGCGATAAAGGTATAAATTTTCTCAATTTTTTGCTCCTGTTGAGTCTTAAATTCTAGAAACATTTGTTTCATATCATTCATAAATTCGAATATAGAATTCCCACAATCATCACTAGATCTCTTGCGTTTACACCGAGTCGTTACGTTAAGCGCCTCCAAATCTATTTGTTTATCGCTTAGGTTTGGTTCGGAATCACTGCGCTGACGTTGTACTATGCGCACAGGCAAAGATTGTTGTGGTGGCGGTGTTCTATCGACGGGCATTATGCTTATAGTTTACTAAGTTATGATTTTCTATTTTTAATGCAGAATACACAGTTTGTTTACAAAGTTCCAACACTGATAATTCAAATGCGTAGAAATTAAAAAGGGGAGATCTCGTTAATCTGGTCGGTCGCGAGGATTTAGTACAGAAGCGCGTTCCGTCAACTTTAATTTGAGCTCCGTATATCTATCTCTCACTGGCCGCGTTTACGGCCCGAGTATAGAAAGGAATGCAGTATAGTAGGTAGTGCAAGTACTCACTCTCAGGTACCCCAAGTGCGTCAAACGATTTTCAGTTTACTTTCGCTATGCATATAATATATGATCCTTTGAGTAGATAAATATAATATTTTAATAATTTGTAAAAATTTCACGGTAAAAACTTGGCACGTCTGTTCGCCTCAGCGGTCCAAAGGGAAGGCAATGTTTTTGTTCATAGGGAATTTGGGAATTTTGTAACCTGCCACCTACTCTGAGTAAACCTTGATCGTCCAAGAAAGGATATAAGGATTTTAGAGGACCTACTATGTCCCTATTTGGTTCTAGATTTTTAATTTCCTGGCTGAAATGAACATATTGTTCTTGCTTTATAATTAAATTTAAAGCTTTTGTTAACTCTTCACTAGGTAAATAATTGAGAAGAATTTTACTGTTTTTTGTTTTTATATTGTTGCAGAACCTAAGTACATAAGCCATGACTCGTGTCATCCTATGTATGTCAGAATACCTCTGCAAAAATTCGAATAAATCGTTTTGTACCTGCGTCGAGAGTGTAGCAAGTGGATCACCAGACTTTCTTGAGTTCTGGGAGGGTGACAGTGGGTAGGTTTTGACTGTTATTGCAGAACTCATGCTTACCATTTTGTAGGAAGGATGGCCCATGCCACCATAATGAGCAGCTCGCAATATCTTTAGGATCCATCCCCCTGCTAATAAGATCAGCAGGGTTTTTCTTTGTGTTGACATAGCGCCACTGATACTGAGAAGAAATTTCTTTAATAATCTTCACTCTGTTCGCGACGTAAGCTTCGACTATCATGGAGTCAGTGAATAAGTAAACATTGTTTATTGCAATTTTCAAGCTAAGTGTATTGTGCGTTCTCTTCATTAGGTGCGATATAAAAGCGCTGCATTGAGTTCTAATCGCGGGATGGTTTGGCTTGCTATGTGAGCTTGATTCGCGACTTTGAACAGAGTAAAGCTATATTTACTTTACCTGTTCTGTCCACCACTCTGAGATAGACACAGCATCCATACCCAGTAGAACTTGACGCGTCGGCAAACCCGATGAGCTGAACAGCTTCGGCAGATTTAGGGACTGGAATGTTCCTATTGAAAGAAATTGAAAAAAACATCAAACCTCAACCACTCCTCCTTCACTGCAGCGGGGGGCGGGGCATTCCAGCCTAGCTTATCAAGCCAAAGCTTCTGCAATATTACTTTCGCCTTAACGATGATGGGACTAACAAATCCCATGGGATCGTAAAACCGTGCCATGTAGCTTATATTTTTTTTTTTTTAGGGATAACAACAGCTGCAATTCTTAACTAGGTAGTAAACTATGAATACATGAGTAATAATATGCTAATAATATTAAAACTGATTGGCAAACCTTGAAAAGACGGGTGTATTGATGTCACATCATCATCAACAGCCTATACTAGTCCACTGCTGGACATAGGCCTTTCCTTAGAAAGGAGGTTTTGGCCTACTATACCACGCTGGCCAGACGGGTTGGTATAGGGTTTGTTTCAAGTTTTCCTTCTCTTTGCAGTGCTGTTGTCCTGCTTAGTTTGCTCCCTTTGTCGGCTCTTACGACACCCACGGGATGAATTGGGGTGGTGACAATTTGTATTCTTAATCCGTCACCACACGGATGTAAAATACGTTGATGTAAAATATGAAATATAATAAATAACTGAAATAAATAACACACACAAATATATAAATATGGGGGAAAAATTAAATTGAATAAATACATTAAAAGATTTATATCATCTAGAAACCTATAAAACCAGCCATTCAGTGCAATGATGTTGACATTTTAGAAAGCCTATGATGATAGTAATTTAAGCGAAACTCGTTTTTTGAAATTGTCCTTAGAACCGATGAATATGACCACACTATTAAAGTGTTTATTATAAGAATCGAGTAAACGTGTTAACCTTAAAATTCATCTTTTCGTTACTACATTGTTTTCAAAATTATTTGGACATGACATAGTAAAACAATCATTCTTTATGTCAACATGCAACCCTAGTGCTTTCATAGTGCAAGTATCTTTTTGTAGATCTAACTCATTAAATAGCTGTTTAAATGTCTGGTGAATTGGATGCCCACTTGTGTGTATGAAAACCACCTTTCTATAAAATAGCCTCTAGTTGACCTTTGGCCTCTAGTAATTCCAATTTGTCAGATGTTGAATACAAAATGTCATCAATATAAGTGCAGTTATTTAGAATAAATGAGGCAAGGGGGTAGTTAGTACCATACCTATTACTTAGTTCAAGCAAGCATCTTGTAGCTAGGAAACTGCTACTCTTCATGCCATAAGTAACAGTGTTTAAGCGTATGCATTGTATTGTACACTAGGATGGCTGCGCCATAGAATGTTTTGGAGACTTGCATGCTCTGGATTGACTAGTACATTCCTAAACATTTTTTGGATATCGGTTGAAAAGGTAAAATCACTTATTCGATACAAAAGTATTATATCCAAAAGTTCTTTTGAACCATTGAGCATTAAATCATTCAAGCTGACTTTTTTGGATGACTTTTTTTGATTTCATGGATGCGTCAAAAACGACCCTCGTGCGAGTGGTATTGCTAGACTCGTTGACCACGGCGTGGTGAGGTAGGAAATATACAGGGTCTTGTTCAAGATCATAACTCTGAAAATCAATATATTGACCGTGACCTAGCTCAACATATTCCTGAATGAATTTTTCATATTCTGTTAAAAGAAGAGGATTTTTTTGAAGCCGCTTTTCTAAGCTTAAAAATCTGTGCAAAGCCAACTCAAAGGAGTTACCTAAATGGCTGTTAACCTCAGAAATAACTACTTTGAGGGGTATGTCAACTTGAAATTTATTATTATTTAATTTGACAGATTTTTGGAAAATATCTTCAGCTAGGTCATGCTCACCCAGTTTCTCACAGTATGCTTGAGGGACCTTCTCCACCTCAAAAAACTTTTTAATCTCATCATTGATGTTATTGTCACATGTTGAACAGAATAAGGTTACCTTACTGTCAGGTACCTGTTGTTGCCAAATTGTGCCGCCTATGACAAATCCCAGTTTTGGTGTTGACTAAATTATTTGACTGCAACTCTACCTCCGGCTGAGACGGCAGCAGAATCTGAAAAAACACATCAGCACCAATTAGTAGATCAATATTGGATGGGACATGATAGTCCTTGTCAGCCAACACTATGCCTTCAAATATTTTTATTTTAGAAATATCAATTTCATTTTGTGGCAATTTGCAAGTTATTTGCTGAACAACATGGAAGTTAATTGTCCTCTTATAGGAGGAAATTGTTGATTGTATCTGCAAAGGAATACAATATTTGGCACAGTTCTGCGAATTGCCAACACTAATTATATTTGTGCTATTGGGTGTTGGGGCCAGCCCTAACCGTTTTATTAAACTATCGGTAGCCAGTGATGCTTGAGAACCTGAGTCTAAAATCGCCTTTGCTAATATTACCTTTTTGTCCTTGGTCAGTAGCTTAACTTGTGCTGTAGGGAGTAAAATATTAGAATTAGCTTGTTCTCCGGACAGCAAACTGACAGGTGGAAAAGTTTCATCGTAGTGAATCAATGAATTATGATCAAAGCATGATCCTAAGGCCGCGCGCACTTTGGACACGAATTCGTATCGTACAGTATACGTACGATCGTGGTCGTACGAATCGAGTACGCACACTGTATACGTTTTTATTCGTCAAATGAGCAGTGTTCTGGTGACATCGGATTTGTGAAGTCTGCTTTGGTTGGAGCGCGATGAATAATCTGTATCTTCACGACAATTCTCTTATAACTCGAAGACTGCGGTGGCGTCGTCGCTATCGTAGAACCGAATGGGTGCGTGAAAGATATTTAAAAAGACACGATTTTGGTGAATTTCATCATATCATGGAAGACTTATATAATGACCACATACTGTTTCATGGTTATGTACGTATCAAAAGAGAAACGTTTGAATATATTCTAAACACTACCATATAAAGGGTGTCTCAGAATGTTTTTCGTTTTTAGATATAAATAAAAAACAACAATATCAATTAAAACTCGTTTTATTTATTGTTAAATTAAAGAGCAGTTCTTGAAGTTTATTTGTGAAAAACAACCGTTTGCAAATGAGCACCGTTTACTTTTTCACACTCATTTAACCTGGAGCTAAAATTTTCAATCACTCGCTGGAGCATCGCTCTTGGAATAGAGTTGATTTCTTTAGTGATTCTTTGCTTCAAAACATTCAGATTGGGCGGCAATGGATTGTAAACTTTACTTTTTAGGTAGCCCCATAGGAAAAAATCAGCAGGCGTTAAATCGGGGCTCCTCGGTGGCCAGTTGATGTCTCCTCGCCGACTTATCACTCTTCCAGGGAATAAATCGTGAAGAGCCGCTAATGAGTCATTTGTAACATGAGAAGTGGCTCCATCTTGCTGGAAAAAGGTGTTGCGGTTGTAGCCATACTGGTTTTGCATTTCTGTAGCCAAATAAGTCCGGATTATATGGCAATATCGATCAAAATTAACGGTCTGAGTTCGACCTCGGTCATCCTCAAAAAAATAAGGACCGAAGATTCCTTGACTTGATATGGCAGCCCAAACAACAACTTTTGGCGAGTGCAAGGGCTTCTGGTGCAGTTCTAGCGGATTCTCGGAAGCCCAGTATCTGCAATTTTGTTTATTCACGTGACCGTTTATGTGAAGATTCGATTCGTCGGAGATCCAGATGTTATTGAAACTCCTAAAACGGTTTTTCATTGTCCTGCAGAATTCGACTCGTTTATCAGGATCATCAGGCTTCATTTCTTGAACAATAACAATTTTATAGGGGTGAAAATGTAAGTCTTTCGAAATAATGCGATGAACCGTACATTTGTTCAAATTAAGAGAAGCTGCGCGCAATCTCAACGACTCGTGGGTCGTCCATAACAGACTGGCGAACGCGGTCGACGTTCATGCTCGTTCTTGATGTCCTTTTGCGCCCAGACGATTTGTTCGGCATTGTATTCCCAGTCTCTTCAAACTTGCACACCCAATGCTTAATTAAATTGGCACTTGGCACATGATTTAAGCTTGTTAAATTAAAATGTGTCCTGTAGAGACGACGAACAATAGTGTAGGAATCGTTGTTTTTATAAAACGCCCGCACGCAAAACGCGCGCTGCGGTCCCGTGAAACGATTCATGGCTACTAAACTTAACAAGCCGGCCAAGCGTTTGAGACCACTCCCCTCCCCCTGCTACCTGCGGTTGGCGCGTATTGGTCAATTCAAAAACGAAAAACATTCTGAGACATCCTTTACTATACGACCTGACCTAACTAAATACAGTAACTTTCGCGACACAATATCACCCGAAGAACGATTAATTGTAACTTTCAGGTAAGCAAGTAAAACATTTTATTTATTCAGATCTCTATTCAAAGTAATATATTGAACATTAATTATTTGTGTTTGGATTGAATTGCATGACATAGTGAGTGAGAGCACCATCTGACAATTGTTCTTGTGGAAGAATATTAAGCGATTGTTGCATTAAAATTTGTCCTTGTGATGAATTTTTTGTGGCATACTAAAATCAACACTGTACTGAGTCGAATCACTAGAACTATCAAACAGTACCGCAGATGATATAGCATTTTGTTCATCTATAAGAACTTGCTGTAATTTTGCTCGTACCATTAATTTACGATGTTTAGGGATATCCTTTAAAAATGGTAGAAGGCTCATCAACTGGGCATCAGGATCGTTTGCACTTTCTTGAAAGCACTTTAACTTCTCCTCTTCAATCTGCAATAGCCTTATATCGATTTCATCTGGCTGACGTCTTTTGATTTTCTTTTTTGGAGATTTAAATATTTTCTTTGGAGTTAGTCCGCCACTTGGTTTTAAAGATTGACCGGAGGACGCCGAAGGCGGAAGATAGTCGGAACATGTATGTACTTGTATTTGCACTATCCTCTTCATCAGAAATGTCATAAGTATCTGGCACGCTACTTTTAAGATCCCTTCGAGACATCGTATTTCTAAGAAAAAGCAAAAGCTTAAAAATAAGGCCATTTAGAATCAGCTGCTTGGCCCGACTTCTTGTTTATGTGTTTTTTATCTCTTTCCCGAAAGTATCTCGTAGTCCTCGCCACTTTTTTTTATCTCGTCAACTGAAAACAATAAAATTTGTATTATTATTACAGGTAATTAGCAACTGGTTCATCGTTCAGAGCACTTGATATTCATTTAGGATATCAGACAATACTATAGGTTGTAGGTTGTACAGCAAGGAGAAACAAGGACATTTCACTGTTGGACGTCTGGTAACGAATCTAACGTCAGACAGTTCCAATGAGGCAACGGACCCTTTGATCTTAGTGCATGGCTGCATCTCTATCTCAGGAAAGCCAGCAAGTTTAGCCTCCATCTGTTCGAAACATGATGTGCCCTTTGGTCTCTTGGCTGATGAAAACTTTTTAGTGGTTTCAATACTGTTGGAAAATTGACCACTGCACACGGGGATAACCTTGTCGCTTTGCACTTCTGCGACAACTAGCGATCGTTCGATATCTATAGCTTCTTCGCTTTCTGGTCTGACAATGCGCGTCAGTTCTTTAAATCCGAACAGTTCTGAAGCTTCGGCAAATGCAGCTAAAATAATGCTCTCAAGTTCATCATCTTCGCGTCCAGTCAATTCGATAAAATCGTGTTGGTGACGGACTTGTAATTTTGCATCTATAGTGCAAACGTTTTGATGTTTCGCAATTTCTGTAAGTGATGTTAATGGAAAAGGATGTAAAATCGCGTCGAGCTCAGCATCTATTAGTGATTGGCCTTCTACTCCTTTGCGGCCACAGTAGGCTTCTGCCTTCCGTCTGTCACGCTGAGTGGGCTTCTTTCGCTTCTTGGTTACTTCCCCGGAGGTCATAGACCGGAAAGGAATTCGCGTATCCATATCGCTGGATGTGCGTTTTCAGGAATACCTAAAAATTCGTTGTGGGGTCTAAGGAGTGTTAAGCGCAACATAAGTGTACCATCAAGAGGAACACTCTAGCCTCTGACACTCAACTCCACTCTCACCTTCCCGTGGTAGGCCCCGTTACGTTGAGCAACCCTGGCGAAGATTGGGTACCAACCCCAATGGGAAACAGGGTCAACAAACTAACGAGAGAAAGGAGGGATCAATAAGGCAATTATTTTTGGTTTATTGGTTTAGTGACCCACAGGAGAGGCGGAATCACTTAGGGTTGGTAGCGGATGAGCCACACATATGGCCAACGGTAGCGCCCAGAATCCTAGTTAGATGGATTACTCTTCACTCACTAAGACGTCCTAGGCAAGCGAGTGAGTTAACTGCCTAAACCCTTTGATCCTAATGATGATACGACATAAGCCAAGGCCCCGTTCCCAGGGGACAGGCAGAACCCAGCAATGACAGCAGCGTGGGTACCGGCCTGGCCAGGGGTGCGAAGAATCTCTGGGAGTCAAATAGCTGTCAGTGCAAACAAAGAACGAGTCCTAAACAGACATCATTATATGTAGGAGCATATAATGCCAATACGTTAGCACATGAAGATAGAATGGAGATTTTACACCATGAGTTGAAAGGAATCAAGTGGGATGTTATCGGACTATCGGAGGTGAGAAAACCCGGTGAAGAATGCATTAAATTGAAATCAGGACACACCCTACTGTATAGAGGGAGAGATGACGGCAAGCATGAGCATGGAGTGGGAATCTTGATTAACAAAAACCTAGAACACCAAATAATCTCAACTGAATGTACATCAGAGAGAGTAGTACAAACTGTCATAAGCATTTCAAAGAAAATTACTCTAAATATAGTCCAAGCATATGCACCAACATCTGCAGCAACAGATGACCAAATTGATCAGTTCTATGAAGATGTACAGAAAGCATGCGATGCTGAAAAGATAACGTATACCTTCGTAATAGGCGATTTTAACGCCAAGATTGGTAAACAACAAGAACCATCTGAAACATTTATGGGTAAATTTGGTTATGGGGATGGGAACGGAAGAGGAAATAAGCTTATCAACTTTATACAGCAAAATAATTTGTACCACATGAGCTCATTCTACCAGAAAAGAGTGCAAAGGAAATGGACATGGTTGTCACCTGGAGGACTGTACAGAAATGAAATTGATTACATATTTTGCTCTCATAAACATATAGTGAAGGACGTCAGTGTTTTAAATAATTTCTATACAGGGAGCGACCACCGCCTCATCAGGGCTAAAATATCTATTAATGCGAAAATGCAGAGATACATGTCCTTGAATAAGAAAAATACCAGAAAAGTAGACCCACTCAAATTGCAAATAAACTCTGAAATATACCGCACAAATCTAAAAGATAAGCTGTCTGAATTAAAACCTGAGACCCTTGATATAGACACCCTTAATCAAAAGCTTAACCAAGGCATGATGGAGGCCGCGCTAAAAGTAGCGAATAAGAATAGCACTCGTCAAGGAAAACTATCAGCGGAGAGTAAAGGATTACTGCAGAAGAGACGCGACATGATAAAGGAGGGTTTAAAGGGATCAGATGAATTCAAACAGCTCTGCGGGGAAACATGACAGAAAGTAGAAGAAGATATAGAAAAATTCAAAGAAAAGACAGTGGAGGAGGTTATCAGACGATATAAAGGCCCGAAAGTATTTTGTAGAGAACTTCAACCAGGTACCCTACAAATTACGAAATTAAAAGATAAGGAAGGAAACTTGATCGCAGACAGGAAAAAGTTATTGAAGGTTATAGAAGACTACTACACAACACTTTACACCTCATACTCAAATGCACCACCGAACACGAATAAATCTAAAATCACTAATGTCGGGTCAGAAGATATCCATGACATAACTAAGGCTGAAATAAAACTGGCCCTGTCTGCGATGAAGAATGGTAAAGCAGGAGGAGACAACGAAATCTTGCCTGAACAACTCAAAGAAGGGGATAACACTCTCATAGAATCACTAGCCATACTTTTTAACACATGCCTTCATCTGGGTAAAATTCCGGAACAATGGAACAGCGCAATGGTCATAATTTTATTTAAAAAAGGATGTAAAGCCGACCTGAACAACTATAGACCAATAAGTTTACTATCACAAACATATAAATTGCTCTCGAAAATACTTACTTTAAGAATCACCAGCAAACTTGACTTCTACCAGCCGGAAGAGCAAGCCGGTTTTAGGAGCGGGTACAGTACAGTAGACCATATCCTAACCATGCGAATGCTCATTGAAAAAGCCACAAAATACCAAGTGCCCTTATGGTTTGCGTTCGTTGACTACAAAAAAGCGTTCGATACCGTAGAGGCTTGGGCGGTACAAGGATCGTTAAGAAGCGCAAGAGTAGACAACAGATACAATCATCTAATAGCTGAGATCTACAAAAACGCAACTATGAAGGTATCAATTCCGCAATCTACTAGGCCCATAAAGATCAGAAGGGGCGTAAAACAAGGCGATTCCCTGTCTCCGAAACTCTTCACCCTGGTTATCGAGGACCTATTTAAAAAACTAAACTGGCAGGATAAGGGCATCTCTGTAAGTGGTACACGTCTAACAAACTTAAGATATGCAGATGACATCGTCCTATTTGCTGACACGCCACAAGATCTCCAGTGCATGATACAGGAACTACACGTGGTATCCTCTGAAGTAGGTCTAGAGATGAATCTCGATAAGACCAAAGTGATGACCACAGAATCGGAGGATAAGGCGGAAATATTAGTGGATAGGACAGTAATTGAACGAGTTTGCAAGTACGTGTATCTAGGACAGGAAATTAAAATGGGAAAAGAGAACCAGGAGAATGAGATTAACCGAACTATCAGACTGGGGTGGGCAGCCTACTCCAAACTCAATTTTGTATTCAAAATGAACCTGTCAGCACAACAAAAGGCGCAGATCTTTGACCAATGCATACTACCAGTCCTTACATACGGCGCTGAAACTTGGGTTACGACTAAAGCCATTCTGTATAAACTACAAGTAGCGCAAAGGGCAATGGAAAGAAAAATGGTGGGTGTGACATTGAGGGACAGAAAGACCAATACGTGGCTTCGTAAACAGAGCAAAGTATCAGACGTTGTAGAAAGGGTAGCAAAGTTGAAGTGGGAGTGGGCTGGTCATGTAGCGAGAAAGCAAAACTCTTGGTGTAAAAGAGTGTTGGAATGGAGACCATGGGACCAGAAAAGACCTCGAGGGCGACCACAGATGAGATGGAAGGATGACATCAAAAAAGTGGCGGGCAGCAACTGGATCCTAATTGCCCAAGACAGAGGAAAGTGGAGAGGATTAAAGGAGGCCTACACCAAATATTTGGTCGATTAAGGCTAAAGAAGAAGATAGGTTGTATTGTATACGAGACTTGTAACGCTATTTGGGAAAATCTTTCTGAAATTCATATGAAGTTTCTATCAAGGGAAGATATGGTCAATATAACTAATGATTTTTGGACAAAATGGGGGTTCCCTAATTGTTCTGGCAGCATTGATGGTAAACATATACGCATAAAGGCGCCAGTGCACTCTGGTAGCATGTTCCGTAATTACAAGTCATTTTTCTCAATTGTACTGCAAGCTGTTGTGGATGCAAACTACCGATTTATTACTATAGACGTGGGGGCCTATGGCAAAGAGAGTGACGGTGGAATATTTTCGCATTCGAATCTTTCAAGACAATTGGAAAATGGTGCTCTTAATGCAAGCAAAGAAAAAGTATTACCGGGCACTGATATAGCTTTGCCTCACTTCTTAGTTGGAGATGAAGCTTACCCCTTGAAGACATATCTCATGCGCCCTTATCCCCAAAGAAATTTGGGTCCAGAAGAGGAAATATTTAACAAACGCTTAACAAATGCAAGGCAAGTTGTTGAGTGTGCCTTTGGTATTTTGAGTAGCAAGGGGAGATTGTTATTAAATGCAATTGAAGTTAATCCCGACCGTGCCGATAATATAATAAAGTGTATATGTTAACTTCATAACGTAATAATTGATAAGGAAGGTTTCATTCATGAATTGCCTACGGAATCACAGCGACTACAAAATGAAAATAGAAACAGATTCATGACTGCAGGAGAGAATAGAAGCGCAACGAGAGCTCACAATATCAGGGATGTACTTAAAAACTATTTTTCTCGAACTAACAATTTATTAATATGATCTGTTTGTCATAAATAAATGAAATAAATTTACCTACCAGACGTTTCCATTTCTTCGGATATTCCTCGCCATGCCTTGCGCTGAAGGTCACGTAAGTGATAACTGGAATCACTTTGGTCCCACAAACATTTATGTTCGTGAATCAGGTTAATTAACTTTTCTACATCCATTTCTTATGTTAAAACGTACGAATGTGTTTTAAAATCCCAACATGTTAGGATTGTTTTCGGACGTCTGAACTACACGTACGTATACGCACGACTAACTCGCACCCAGTCTGCGCGCTTCCATAGTACTTGGAATGTCGGGATCGTTCGTACGTGTTCGTACGTGTCCGCACGACTAAAATTCGTACGAAAACGTATCCAAAGTGCGTGCGGCCTAAATAAAAAATATATCGCACTACTATAACACTAGTTTACAAAATTGAACTTTTTTTTTATACCCCAAAATAAATGTATATAAATATGTTAATCTACCTTCCTTAAATCTAAAAGTGTTAGCAAAAATATTTTATCACGTCACAATTTCTTCCTGCAGTCAAATGTTTATTTTTTAACTACCTAACGTGGTGACGACAGTTTATTGTTTATTCGTTCGCTTCAAACGACAATTATCTTGTTTCGGATTGATTTAAAATGTCGAGTAGAAAGTGTAAACAAAGTTTTGATCGTTTTTGTTATGTTTGTGGACAGTTTATATTTTCAAAAAAGAGAAGACCCATTGTAGATTCGTTAAAAAGTGCATATCTTCATTATTTTGGATTTCCCGTTGCAAATCAAGATAAAAAGTGGGTTCCTCATGTGTTTTGCGAAAGCTGTAGAATCGTCTTACTCCAGTGGTCATCAGGAGAAAACGTTCACCTTCCATTTGGTTCACCAATGCTATGGAGAGAACCTAGTAATCATGAAAATGATTGTTACTTTTGTGTTACGAAGACATTGGGATATAATAAAAAAAATAAGGCAAGTATTATATATGCCGATGTTCCGTCTGTTACTAAGCCCATATTACATTCAAAAGATCTACCACATCCAGTTTGTCCTGGTAATTCGAGTGCAAATATACTAGATGACAATGAAAGTGATGTTGAATTCAAATCGATTTCTAGTGATTCTGACGAGTTCTCACTTCAAGAAAAGATTCCACATTTAATTAACCAAGCCGAATTAAATGATCTTACAAGAGATTTACAATTATCAAGATCTAAAGCAGAGCTTCTTGGTTCCCACTTACAACAGTGGAACTTATTACTACCAGGCACAAAAGTTACGTTTTTCAGAAACAGAAGCAAAGTTTACTCAGAATTTTTCAAAAAAGAAGGTGAATATTGTTATTGTACTGATATCCCGGGACTTTTTGAAGCAATGAATCAAAACTATGATAAAACAGAGTGGCGCTTATTCATAGACTCTTCGAAATATAGTCTAAAAGCTGTTTTATTACATAATGGTAATAAAAAACCGTCCATACCAATAGGACACGCAGTGAATTGTAAAGAGAGCTATGAAACGATGCGTATTTTAATTAATTTAATAAAGTATAAAGAACACCAATGGAAACTGTGCGGCGACCTAAAGGTCATCGGTATGTTATTGGGATTGCAGGGTGGTTACACAAAATACTGTTGTTTCCTTTGTTTGTGGGACAGTAGAGCGAAACAACATCATTATGTAAGAAAAGAATGGCCTATTCGGAATGAGTATATTCCGGGCAAAATGAACATTAAACACGAGCTGTTGGTAGATCCCAATAACGTCACTCTACCCCCTTTACACATCAAATTGGGGCTCATGAAAAATTTAGTGAAGGCGCTTGACAAAAACAGTGATGCTTTCCGGTATTTACAAAAAATCTTTCCAAACATTACAGAAGGAAAACTGAAAGAGGGTATATTTGTTGGCCCACAAATCCGTAAAATTATGAAAGATTCTCAGTTTGAAAGCCTTTTATCTGATAATGAAAAATCTGCTTGGAAGTCATTCAAAATGGTTGTGGAAAATTTTTTGGGAAGCAAAAAAAGTGAAAATTACAAAGAAATTGTTACCGATTTATTGGAAAATTTTCAAAAGATGGGAGTAAACATGTCATTAAAGATTCATTTTCTGCACTCGCATCTAAGTTTTTTCCCTGAAAACTTAGGAAGTATGAGTGACGAACAAGGGGAACGTTTTCACCAAGATTCAAAGGTTTTTGAAGAACGACATCAAGGATTTTGGGATGAAAACATGTTAGGAGATTACTGTTGGTCCATTATAAGAGAAACTGATTCAAATAGCTATAAAAAGAAGGCAAAAATTAGTCATTTTTAATTTTTTTTTAGTATTAATACCAAAATTATGTATTTCAGTTAAGTTAATAAATATTTCTTAAACCAGACGTGACCGAATTTTTTTATTATTTTTTCTGGATAATTCTACCTAAATGAATAACAAAATAACAACTTTCAGCTGGGGTATGAAAACCGTGTAAACTAGTGTAATTAGTTAGCGAATGGAAGAAAATAAAGTTTAGATGTTTAGCAACAACTGACCCTTATCTTTTCTACCGTTATTTTGGTAATAAATAGGTCTATTTCATGTTAATATAATAAAGATTCGTAATTAAATTAAACAATAGAAAACAACATTAAATAAATAAATAAAACTTACCTTTTCCAAAAAATGGATGAAACCAGACACAAAACGTCTATTTCACACACGACGACAAGGTGAACGTGACGCTAGTTTCGAACTAACTTTTTTTGATAAAAATTTAATGACAAAGGTGACTGACGTTTGTTTATCGTTCGTTTATGCATTAGGTCGAATTAAAACAATTTTGAGCCTTAGAAGTATGTGTTTTAAGTAGTGATGTGCCGGATCGTTAACAAAGTATATCCGCGGATACGGATCCGAATACGGATATTTGGTGTCAAGATCCGCGGATACGGATACGGATACGGATCTTAAGTTTCGTACTCAATCGGAGCCCGTGACCTTGATAGTTGTCGCCACTTGACGCTTTGCCGTTGATAAATATTTCATTATTTTAATAAGCTAATACAAAGATGTTTGATTGATCTCATTATAAAGATAGCTCTTTCAGTACCTACGACCTGCCTAGTTGATTTAGTGTAGTACGATAAATGATTGCAATACAAAGGTGCCAAATATTTGTTTTAAGAAACAAAAAGTAATCTGAACAGAATTCAATAGTTTTTCATAGCTACCTAATAACCATTATTCAGGGTTATTTTAAATTTACTGAAAACCTCTGAAGTGCATATTAGTAACATTATAAACAACAACTTTTCTTCTGGACTAACACCGAAAACGAAAGAAAAAAAAATGTTTCTCCATACAAACTAACAACATTTGACTGGTCATTTGAATGGAGGACAATTTTTTTTTATTTTGACGTTGGCCAGAATAAAAATTGTTGTTTATAGTGTTACAAACACATACCTAAGAAGTGAATACAAAATCACCTATATATAATTTCATCTATGTAATATGTATTGAAAGATCCGCCAAAAAAGCCACGGATACGGATACGGTTACGGATCTCTCTTCTCCCTTGGATATCCGCGGATACGGATACGGATATCCGGCACATCACTAGTTTTAAGTATAAAAATTGACCAAAACATGAAGGTTGTCCCATTGGTGCATATCTGTATCAAAGCACCGAGAGCCTTGGAGCAGATCCGCTCTTAAGCTTATAATAAAATGAAACGATAAGTCAAAAAGCAAAACGACAATGTTAATGTATTACCACAAAATGTTCAAAAATTTAACTACCATAAATTTTCAGGTAAGTTTAAAATAATAATTTTGATAATCTACATTTCCCGCTTCGGAAAAGAATCAGTCGGATGGAGCAGAAGTGGCCATTACAGAGAGATGCTTTAGAGCAGATTCAGTTAGCTTAGGAAAAGTCTATTCAGAGCTCTTTCAGACATTGAGAGGATCTACCATAAGATCCGATTGCGGTACCGCAACGTATAAACCAATTCGATATTTTTGACCATTGACGAGTTAGATGCCATTATTTTTTCATGATGTACCCGCCATATCGCCACAATTTACATTAGTACGGTCGTCAACGACGAACTCTTAAATCATTGAATGTATTTGTTTTATTAAATTTGTAATTTGTATAATTTATATGTAATTGTTTGTCAAATAAATAATAATAATATCTTGTCCGTCGACTGTCGCTTTTGATGAAATAGATGATTCAGAACTAGACGCTCCCGAATTGTCATTAGTAATCCAATTTAAACAGTTCTTGGTATAATTTATTTAAAAAAAAAGTCAAACTTCAAACGGATATAAAGAGTATAAATGGCACAACATTGATTCATGTACATCAGGGAAAATCACTTTACTTTGATTTCTCCACTATCATATTTATAGAAGACACTAGAGAAACTGAAAACAGGGCAACACAAGGGATTACTGGTTTCACAGCACCACCTTTATATATAGTCTTAAGGACATAAGAACTGAAGAGATGAAGCCAATCCCTCCTGACACCAATACAATGATTTCGCTCGCCCTTGTCATATTCAATATTGTTTTGCCAGCTTCATCATCACTGTTGTTTGTGTCTTCTTTCAGTTGTATGAGTGCGTTGTGATTCTCTTTAAATTTAACGATATACTGTCGATGGATGCAATGGTAGCAGTCTATTGGATGTCCGCCAACACTGTATTTCTATTCTTTTGGGTGTATAGAGCATGATTCCATAAAGCTACATGCGCTTGAGGCTTCTGTTTCTCCAGATATTGAGAATAACTCACCGCGTGCATTTATATGGGGAAAGTCCTCCTCTTTGGTCTTGACACATTTTATTTTTCATGTTGATACAGTTTTCAGGCTGTGATTTGACATATGAGGGATTTTGGAATGTCATAATTATTATGAATTTTGTTATGCTTGTTATATGTACATTCGGGATCATCTTTTTGTTGGTCTTGTTTACCCTTGTTCTTGTTATTTTGAATTTAATCAAAATTTTGGATCTGTTTTTACTTCACTACTTCACACTACTTTACTATATATATTATTGTTTTTGATAAGGATAAAGGGTCATCATCTAAATTATTTTTTTTGAATCTAGGATCCAAAAACGTTGCAACCAAAAAAAGGTGCACTTTTGGATGTTTTCGAATCTTTAATTAAATCCCGATTGCAAGGAATGTTTCAATTGTTTTGCCAAATCACAAGTTGGCGTAACTGTGTCCAACACAGTTCTCAAACATTTGATAATAGGTATAGCTTTGCTAGAAGTTACATATTTTTCGGCACACATTTGTTCAGTGACACTATGAACAGGCTTTAAAAAAAATCTATTAGTACGACAATTTCATTTGCTTGAAGCTTTAGGGGTGGTTTATCAAAACAGCGGCCTTAGGGTGACAAATCAACATCGAGCTATGCTGCGCTGTACTGCGCTGTGCTGTGCTGTGTTTCTTAACCCTTAAATGGACGATTTTTGTTTCACGTTTTAAAAAAATATATTTGTGTAATAGACATGTATTACTGTCTAGGAAAAATGAGTAAAAAAATCTAGACATGAATTTACTATACTTTTTTTTGCAATAATGTGAGTGTTGTTTATAAACTACATTGCGCATTCATTGAGATTTTGCAAGTATGGGTAAAATAAGAGTGGATATTGTTTTTGAAATGTATTTATTTATTCTTCATTCATGCTTCATTCATGCTTTTTTTCGTATCACATAAAGATACACGACATTTTTGGCACATTTTGAATGCCTGAACATTTTGGGAATTTGCACCTCTGCTGCTTATCCAGCCAAACTGCCCAATGACATGTCTGATCCAATCTGACGTCTTTCAAAGGAATTGCTTGAGCTGGTCCTCGGAACTTCTTCATTACAAGTTCTCTTTGTATTGTGCTCCCACTAGGTCGACCACGTTTAGCGCCATTTGCAGGTAGACCCAATTTGCAGAGCATTTCAGCAAGTTCTAGTCTGAATGTACCCAAATTGAGAAGTTGATCATTTCCTTTCATATTATTTACCTTCTTGAACATAACCCATGAATTTATAACTGTGAGGTCCAGGAAATGATAAAATAAGCGCATGGTCCACTTGCGGCTCTTCATTGTGATGTGATAACAACCTATAAATGAATCTAATAAGTCCAAGCCTCCCATGTGGCCATTGTACTCCTTGATGACTTTGGGGCATGGAATAGCAACTCTCTCTTTCTTCGATTTATCAAAGCGTGTGACTGTGGTTGCTGGTTCTGCTCCTACGTAAGTGAAAAGAAGGTTAACGGGCTTGTTATCTTTCCACACAACAGCACTTACGTCAATATCATCCACAGTCGCCACGTTTTCCTCATAGAATCCTCTGGGTACGTTCTTTTTCATTAAAATTTTTTTTTTCAGGCAATTTGCAGTTTTTCAATCAGTTTACTCTTACTGTTCCCAGTGAGAAAATTCCTTCCTTAGCTAAATAGGTGACGAGAGGCACAGAAGTATAGAAGTTATCGAAGTATATAATGTGATTCACATTGCGTGGTACCATTCTAGTTAACCTGACGACTGTATTGCCAGACTCTCCCAAATCTGGCTCACCAGGTAAGATGTTATTTTTGGAGCCCCCTCCACTGTAAACCTCAAATCTATGAGCATATCCTTGTAGACTGCAGATGAGATATAATTTGAACCCCCACTTGTGGGGTTTATTGGGCATGTATTGTTTTATGTAATGGCTCATTTTGGTTGCACACATCTGCTCGTCTATGGAAAGCCTTTGGTCTAAGGGAACCTTCCCAAACTGGCAGTTGAGCGTTTCCTCAAGAGGTCTTATTTTGAATAGCGTGTCATAGTCTGGATGATCTTTGGGCAAGCATAGCGTATCGTCGGCAAAATGGAGAGTGGATCTTATTTTTAAAAAAATTTTTAACGGCATTGTATTTTTTATGTGATCATAACCAAATTTTTCACTCCAGTAAGCCCTGGTGTTTGAAAATTTTATAACTGAGGTGTAAATCAGAATGCCTAGGAATTTATTTAGGATATTTTCATTTATAATTTCAGGATTGGAGATTTATTTCTGGGCTGCATATAAGTTACTTTGTTCTACAATTAGCTTTTTTAGATCTGATGTAAAATAAAATGAAAAAAATCATACGGCGTGTTACAAGACATCAATGCTTCCGTTATCTGAGTCTCTCCCCTAAAAATAAGGCTGTCTTCAGCAGTAATAAGATTCCGATTTCGCCAAACCAGAGGTCGTTTAGAAATCCCTTGTGATCTACTCTGGGGTGCTGCTTCTTCGCCTTCCAAAATAGGAGGGTCTGGCATATTTTCATCGTTGTCGATTACGAGAGGAGGATCAGCATCCACTTTATCAGACTGGGCATTCTCACCTTCGTCACTATTTTCAAGGTCTCGAAGAACATCTCGAGCTGTTTGATAATAGTGAGCTTCATCCTCTACTTCGGAGTCTGACCCGTCTAAGCCATCTTCTGAATCTTCAAAAGTTTCTAAATACTTTGTAATTTCGCTTTCTGGTAATCGCGCCATGCTGAAAAGCAAAATAAAAATCTTTCACCAAACGCATTTATTTAGCAGGCAATGCGCATTGTAGTTTTCCTACAACATACCAGATTTCGCCTAATTCGACAGTAGCATCAAGTGATTTTCAATGTTTTACAACATGAACATGTAATTGAAGATATAATCAAGCAAATAAAAATATGTTATATACTTACATTATATTTTATCAAAGTCCGAACACAGCTACAAAACTTAGTTTCGCGCCACTAGAAAAGTTTTCTTCAAAGTGACATTTGACATTAACTTATTTTCAATGCATAAAAATTTTGGATAGTGCCAACATTAAAAAAAGTACAAAATTCGTTCAGAAATAAGAACTAGTCAAAATGAACAAAAAATTAAAAGAAGGTCAATTTTATCTGTGACGTTTAGTATGTTGTTTAAAAACAACATTGTCCATTTAAGGGTTAAGCTACGTTTTTAACAATCACCATCAATCTGTGCTGCGCTTTGCTTAGCTCAGTATTAAAAGTAATCAGCAGCTCGTGTAGTCGTTTATCTCGTCAAAAATGACTTTATTTTCAAAAACACGTAAACATTACGACAAAGTTGAATCCGATGAAGATGAAAGTGAAGAAGAAGCGGTATGGATATTTTATGTGTTATTTTGTCGTTAAAAGAGTCCAGTCACGGTAGCTTGTTACCACACACCATACGTGAAAAATACGGAGAATTTAATTTTCTAAAGAATATTGCCACTGAAGACGATTTTTTTAAATACTTGCGAATGACTAAAAAAATTATTTAAATTCGTTAATAAGTCCATATATAAAAAACAAAATTGACTGTAAGAAAGCCATAAGCACAGAAGAGAAATTAGCAATTTGTTTGAGGTAAGTAAATTATTTGAATGCACAAGTTAAGGAAATTTTCTCTTTACATTTTCCCTCGTGTATGTATTAGTAATAAATTTTGTATGTAGTGTATTTACTAATGTTACATTATATAAAAAAGTAGCGATCGCCCGCGGTTCCGCCCGCGTGGATGTCGGTTACCGCTGCAAAAAGCCTACCCAGGAAAGACACGGTCAGCAAAATGATTCACAGGTCAATTCACAGACACCGACACTAACATCGACGACGCAGTCATTATCCGCAGGCTGCACAGATTGTCTTTCTGTGGATGTTAAAGTTGTTAATGAGGAAAATATTTAAATGTAATTAATACTAAGTTTTCACTTCTGCCGGCAGTCCCCGAGTGCAACTCGTTGTTTTAGGATAGATAACTAAAGCGATTATTGTAGAGCTTCTCTATAAACAACATTTGACGTTAAATTATTTTCAGGTAACAAAATATACTGATGGTCGTAACCGACCCGTGATAGGGCAACGTAAAGTTGCCCATGCGTAAAACATTCTTTTCGTAAATCAATTCCTAATAATTTGAATGTTTGGCCCTGGGATTTGTTTATTGTTAGTGCGAAAGAAATTTTTACTGGAAATTGGTGGGATTGAATTGAAGGGTATAGGCAAATCAGTAGGGGTCATGGGTATTCTTGGTATATGAGCTAATTCACCAGTTGCAGGGCCGGTGATAATCTTTGCTACTATTAAATTATCTTTTAGCTCCTTTATAAGAAGTCTCGTGCCATTACACATGTTGGGGGGCTTAAATTTTTGAGAAGCATTATCGGCGTGCCAACTTTTAACGACAGTTCATGAGGTGATAGCCCACCGGGGTTCATAGAATTTTAAAATTCCTGGGGGCTCCTCTGCTGCGTCCTCGATGTTAGTGACGGTGTCTATGGATTTATAGCACTTAACTTCACCCGGTACTTTCTGCATAATTAAATTGTTTATTTCATTGACTGTTTCATTCCTGGGAGAAAATATTGCTCTACAACACAGCCAATGAAAAAAATTTTGATGTAAGTTTTCGATGTCATAATATATAGTATCTATCAGACTATCTAAATTATGGACTATTTGGCCTAGAGACTCATCCAAAGTAACCGCATAATCGGTGCTCAAATTTAAAGATGGAAAAATTCCTTCTCCAAGTTTCAGCAGCTGAAAATTGCTATGCGTTTTTCCATGTAGATGAGCTTTCATATTGGTGCGCAAATTCAAATGTTGAACAGTTGTCTAAAGGTGAGACGATTTTAAACATGCGTTCATAATATCTGCTCGCGTACCTCTGTTGACGACTGGAAGCGTTTGTCGGAAATCTCCAGCAAATACAAAAGTGATACCACCCATGACATTAGCAGAGCTTCGGAGGTCTTTTAAAGTACGGTCCACGGCCTCCACACGAGCTCTATGACTCATGGTGCATTCATCCCATATTACCAACGACGCGTCTTGCAACAACTTACCAAGAGGCCCATTTTTCCGAATAGATCACCTAGACCGTTGATCTAAAGATACGGATAGCGGGAGTTTAAACGTAGAGTGAGCAGTCTTTCCTTCGTTCAAGAGAGTTGCAGCAATTCCTGACGAAGCAACTGCAATCGCTATCTTCCCTGATTGCCGTATCTTAGCAAGTATCAAATTTGCGAGAAAAGTCTTTCCAGTGCCTCCTGGTGCGGCCAAAAAAAATAATCTCCCCATGTTATTGTTCACGCTGTCCACAATAGTCTCATAAGCATGTCTTTGATCTGGTATTAATTTTGGCACATTCTCATTAACAAACGCTGTTAGATCATTTCTGTTATACTGTTATACCATTGTGTCAATAGTATTATTCTGGGTACGAACGGGAGAAGGTAATCCAAAATCACTTAAATTTTTATCGTTTATTTCTAGAAGTTTGTTTTTTATTTCAATTAACCCTTTATTATAAATGATTTCAGTGAAGGGTAAAGTGTTATCCTGATTTTGTTGTCTGATGCGATGTCTAATATCTTCACAGAACTGATCTTTGAAAGTATCCCATAACTTCAATGGTTCGGATGGTTAACAAAATAAAAGTATGACTACGACCAACTCCCTTAGTTTTTTTGGACAATGTGATAACGAAGCTTCGCTTAAAGTGTTACCCCAATGGTCATCGTTTTCAAGTAAACCTCGGTCACGGCAAGCTGCTTGATACGTCTCTTTGACAATACCGTTTACAGTTTTAAGGTATGCATATGAGGTCGGACCGCGTACGGGGTGCAGTAGAATCCTAAGATAAAAACACTCTGATTGGGATGGATGTATCCCGTAGACTCTACCTAAAGCGGCATCTTTTTAATCCCCGGATGTCAAAAACTAAACGAAACGAAACAAAAAACGAACTAAACGAACAAATACGAAACTAGCACTAGGAAGGACTTAATGTCTCTAGGGGATATAGGGACTGGATAATGTGTTACGGCCTTAACTTTATCCGGATTGGGTTTCACACCATATTGAGTAATAATATGGTCTAGATAGGTGACCTCTTTCCGTAGAAATTCGCACTTTTCCGGCGGGAGTTTTAAATTGAATTCTCTGAGTCTTTCGAAGACATCTTTAAGGTTTAGAATGGCCTGTTTTAAATCGAAAGCGTACAATACGATGTCGTCTAAGTAGACAAAGCACCGTGAGCCTTGAAGCCCAATAAGACATGTATTCATAAGTTTCTGGAAAGTAGCTGGGGCATTCTTAAGCCCAAAAGGCATTCGATTAAATTGAAAATGTCCCTGCGGGACTGAGAAATCAGTTTTAGGTGCGTCTTCCGGCGCTACCTTAAGTTGGTGAAAACCGGATGATAGCTCAAGCGCGGTAAAGTACTGGCTCTTTCCTAACTGGTCAAGGATCTCAGTTATCTGAGGAATAGGATAAACTTCTCCAATAGTGACATCATTTAATTTGCGGTAGTCAATGACTATCCGCCATTTCCTTTGGCCAGATGCATCAGCTTTCTTGGGTACTACCCATATGGGGGAAGACCAAGGAGATGACGATGGAGTAATAATATTTTGGTGTAACATTTTGTTTATTTGTGTAGCCACTTCTTGTTTGTGGCATTCTGGAAATCGGTAAGATTTGGTGTGGATTGGTGTATCACTAATTGTCTTTATTTTATGTTGGATGGGAGGTGAGAAAGATAATGTCTCATCTGGTAGGTGGAAAATGTCGGAGTAGTCGGAACATATGGTGAGAAGAGCCTCTCTTTCTTCTTGATTCAAGTGGGACGTTCTTAGTAAGCTGATAACCCTGTCTGTGCGTTCAGTAACACAGACATTGTGAACACGCGCAGGTGATTGTATAGGGTATGTTCCTATGGGATCTAATTTAAGGTTAAGATTTCGCTTGATTGGAATTGATTTGTGAGAGGTATTAATAACAGATATTATCCTTATATTCTCTTTTACCTTAATTAGGCAGTTAGCCACGAGTAGGGTGTCAGAAAGGTGTTGATCTAATACAAGGCCTTCCTTGACTTCTGGGTTTGAAACAGAACATTCTATCACGGTTTCGGTGCGTGGGGGTATGACGTAGCATGGATCAAAGAAATGGATTTTTAATTCGGTTTTATTTATTTTCAAGACGTCTCGGATGTAGTCAATATTACAACCATGAGCCGTCAGGTACCATCGTAAGGTAAATGGATGTCTTTGATGACGTGAAATTTGTGATTAATGAATCTCTTGTCAGAGATTTTAAATTTCTTCGAGAGAATTCGAGGCTCACTTATTATACCCATTACATCTTCATAAGGCACATCACTTTTATCATTCTCATTAAGACTGAACAACATTTTAGAACTGTCCATACATTTTAAGGATACCACTTGTATCTCCATTTTCTCTTCATCAATTTTATCGACCATGCGCAAATATTTGTATATTGTAGTCCTCCTTTAAAGGCGAGAACAAAATTTCCACATTCTGGATTTCTATTTTTATTAGGTTCATCATATTCCACAATATATTTGAACTTCTACATTATAATCACTATCGCTTTCATTGTACTCTACCACAGCATCATTTACATCATCATCTGAAGAAGTATTCTTTGTAATATTTTTTTAAGTCTTTGTTTTTTAGTTTTTGGTTCTCCCGTTTCAACTAGCTTTTCTATTCGACCTTTACCCTTTTCTTTCACAATTGTTTTCTTTGTTTGTTTAATTCCAGTATTCTTTTTTTGTTTTTCATCCTCAGCCTTTTTAAGTGTTTCCTTAACTTCACTTGTTGTTAGAACTTCCCCATAAGCGCACTGTTTCAATCTAGGTATTACTACTTTTTTATTGGCTTTATACCAACAATTTTCTCTATTTGCTCTTTACTTGGTGATTTTATTTCATCATCTGTTACTACGGAATTGATAAAAGCACTGCTTATTTTTCTTTTAATATGGTCTGCAGTTCCGGTATCTAGACTAATAAGTTTCAGAATTTTGTTGATTAAAGGAGATGTATTGTTATTATCTTCCATCACCGTCATCATGTCACTTCTTTTAGAAGTTCCTGGTAAAATAGACTCAGATAGTTTGTCAACTTGTTGATTTTTAGATCTAGTAGTATGAATTCGTGTAAATTGTTGACCAGACTGGCCGACCTCTTTTTGCTGTTCGTAATTATCCGCCGTTTCTGCAATATCAACTGCATCATGCTGGAAGGGTATATTACTTTGTGTTTCATTTTGATTCCCTTCCAACACTTTGTCACTGTTGTTTAAACTATAAACAGTTTCATGTTTTATCAGTTTGTTGTGTAACATATTCAGTATGTCGTTGATCAGTCTGGTTACCATTTATTCTGTAATTTTCTACCAAAGTATTAATAGGTTCTTGTTGTATTTCATTTCTGTTCTTATGTTCTAAAGTATTAGTAAATTCTTGTTGTGTTTCATTTTTGTTATTTTGTATTTCAATTCTGTTATTTTGTTCCCAAGTAGTAGTAAGGTATTGTTGTTCTATATCTTCCTCTCTTTGCTGTGTAAGAACTATATGTTCTGTCTCATTATGGAATTCATGATAGTAGTGTTGGATATGAATATCATTTATAATATTTGTGTACACTTGTAAGTCTTGATGTTTAAAGAGATCCTTCGGAAATTTGGATGGATCAACTGGATAAAGTATAGTTGTAGTGAAACCTGATATAATATTTTCAGATTTCATAGCCAGAAAGTAGACTTCGCCCAATAACTTACTGAATTGAGCTCGCGATAATCTTTCAGACCCTACAACCATTTGTTTGACTCCATTTTCAACTATTTTTTTATCCCAAGCTTTTATCTAGTGGTTCAACCACTAGATAAAAAATCTTGTCCGTTAAGTGGCTTGGAAATATCACCATGATAACACTAGCTTTTTGAGCTTCTTCTATTATTCTTAAACTTATATGGCTACAGTGGCCATCATAAATTAACAACGCTTTTTGATTTGGCTTGTTTTGGTCTTCTCGTAATTTTTTGACATGTGGAATTAACGATTTTGTGAGCCAATTAAAAAAAATTGATTCTTCCATCCATCCTTTTTTGGTAACGGCGTACAATGTGCCTGGATAAGACTTCTGAGGTGTGCAACGGGCTTGAACTGCTGCTCCCTTATACAAAATCAGAGGGGGTAAAACATGGCCCTTAGCGGAAACACAAGCAAGAACGGTTGTGGATTCTCTACCGGAGCCTCCAGATACTCGAGAAAGAGGCTTCCCCTTTTCACCAACCCCTACTCCTTGGATCACTCTGGAATCCACTTTCATCACAGTTGTATATAAAATCTGGTTTGTCTTGCAAATTGTTTTCATTCATAACACACTTAAGAGTGTTGTAAAAGTCGTAAACAATGTATGGCTTTCGAGCATCTACTCTTGCTTTTTGGAGATGTTCAGGCTTTTTTAAACTCAACTCAGGGTGTCTTTTCATAAACGATAAATACCAATCGTCTCCTGGTTTATTATCTGTAAAAGGTGTTTTTAGTTGCTTGCTTTCAACATACTGTTTTACCAGCAATTTCAGCTCTTCTTTTTGACAAAGTTGGCCCATTTGCGCTCTTGTCTTAATGCAAGAGACTGTATATTCTTCTACATTTTCTGGCAACACTCTTTTAACTCCTGCACCCATTCCTTCTATATTTATTTTTCGTCCTTTTATTCTATCAAATATTACTTTAACAGGAACTTTTTATGTAACCGCTACAGACAGGCTGTATGTTTTCCTTTTTTCTTCAACATCTTTAACAGCGCTATAAATATCCTGTAATGTGTACCTGGTTTCCGTTTTTCTGACATAAACTCGCGGCATGTTAATTATAACCTGAAAAACAAAATGTTTACTTTTACCCACCACCACCTTCTATGCATAGCATAATATCGTTTCCAATTACCCATATCGTTTACAATCAACCCAAATATTGTTTATAATTAACCGAATGCGATTTATTGATGGGTTTAGGTATTAGTGTATTAAAACAGTAAAAAAGCAAAATCACACCCAATATTAATATATCCATATTATATGCATGAACTTTAAGTTGAACATGAACCTTTAAGTTTCTTGAAAAAACTAACAGTTCCAAATATATTTCGAAATCCGCAAATCACTTTATTTAACGGCCTTTTTTCATAACACTAAAAAAATAGGTTATGTTTGACGTGGCAAGGATTTTGACAGTTCCGACCATAGACAATAGAACAAAAATGCGTTCCGAAACTTGTTACTTAATTTTTTCTTTTATTCAAAAGGAGTAAAGATGACTGTTTTTTTTTCCGTGCGGAAATCCCCTCGGATACCACCTGTCGGTGGCATGTCGGACTCGAACCGACTAAAACCGCACGCCGTCTCGGGTACTAATAGCCGGGGAACCAGGTATACCCTAGAAAGGAAGTCCCTGGTGCCCTGACATACCTCGGGCCATCTACAGACGAGTAGACGACCCCCCCCCCCCCGTGTGGGAACCCCATGTTCCCTCTGCTCCCTGGAAGCGAGCGCGCTTCGCAACGCGCTCGCCGCCACCCCGGCCTGCTTCTGCTAGGGTGACAGATGGCCTCATCTGTCACCCCCAGGCCTGCGCTTATGGAGGACGGAGGTCGTTCTGCGACCTCCGGCGCCTGAGTCGCCTGCGGTTCCTAGCCCGTTCCCGGGCCTGGCGGGCCGGGAGAGTTCTAAACCTCTCCCGGTCCCGATCCGCCGTCTCCTTCGCGAGCATAACTTGCTCGCAGAAGGAGACGGCAGAGTTCCACGCACTCCAATCCCACCCGTTTACAATTACCCTGGTTGAGCCTATATGATTTTAATATTTGATTCGGGCAGTAATTTATCATTAACTCTATTACTAACAAAAATTAATGTTTGAAAAATTCTAAACTTGCGATAATGGTTTAAGTCATCAATTTTCGGTAATAACAATAAAAGTGCCTAACTTTTATTATCAGTGAATAAAAGAATGTTAAACATAGTGTAGTATGTTAGTACTAATCAAAAGTATTTACCTGGTTTGTTTATTTTTGTTACATTTTATGAGCTATAATTTATAAGATACATAGTTTGTTGTCATACATTTCTGTAAAAAATAACTTTACGGTCCAATAAGTATGTTATTTGTATATTAAAATAAAAATGTTCAAAAGGGTTACAGTTAAATCACTCGCTGGCGTAATTTGCTTTTAAACCAATATATTTTTGCAACATTTTAGTATGTCGTATGAACTAATACTACTTTACTGACATTACATTCTTATGTGGGTTTTAATAATCGAGATTGCCTGAAGAATTTTTTTTTTTTAATAATAATTAGACGACATATAAAAACATATAGATTAGAATTTTCACTGGCGTTGTCATAACGGAAACTGTGGGCTCTAAGGGGCGTTATGATAACTACCTTTAGTTTGTTTATGTATTGAACAGTCTTTATGAGACTTTTAAAGATATTTTATTTTTAATTTATATTATCAAGGTAAACAGATTGCATTAATGACAGTACTAATTTGAGAATAAGAATTACATTTTTAATTCCATGTACTCTACAGACACTACGGGATAAATAAACTGCCTCTTAATCTTATAACATCTCTTTATTTAATAGCTGCCCCCCCACCCTAGATTAAAAGTGTAAGCGCTGACCGAGCTATCTCAGGTATTTATTGTATTGGTTATTAGTTGTCTATGTTCACTTAAGCCGGCACCTGGCGCCCGAGATTATTGGTTTTGTTAGAATTTGTGGTGCCGAACCAGTTAGTTTATTCATTTGTATGCAATATAGACATGCATTACTTAAAATCATATTTTTTTTATTTTTTAATATTACAGTATTATACCATTTTGTAAACTGCATTAACTGCGCATTTTATTTAAATAGTTGGCCTTTTAGGTTTCATACTTTTTTTTTTTACAAAAGGCTCTCAAACTTTGTCGTAATTTTTTTTTTTATCAAATTTCATGTTAAAAATTTAAGTTGATATTTTTTTCCAAAAAAGTACAATAGTTACTCATACTATTTACTGCATTTCTAATAAGATTGTCTATGAGGAATAAGATAACGCCAAAAACGCATCTTTATGCTAAAATTTTTCAAATTAACCCACTCGGCAAATAATGACGAATCGTGTGGTAAGCTGCAGCCCCTTCAGCAGCGACAATCTTCTCATTAATTGACGATTTCTTTATAATAATGTCTAAGGCTATAGAAGTCCCTACCTGGGATTGCAAATTACAATACAGTACATACAAGCATAAGAAGATATTACAATTTGTAATATCTTCTTATGCTTGGCTGTTTTCTGATGTTCCTCAATATTAATCGCACCGCTACTGTCTATAGATATACTGGATTCACAAATACAACAATACACTTCAGAGTCAGATTTGTCGCGTTTGACCGAGGGAAACATTTTTCGTAAAGCTTCATTCGAAAGCGTTTCGGCATGCTTTAGAGGAAACATTAAACTTATAAACACAATTCTACAGCTGAAACAAAAGAAATGCCGGTAAAAAGCGAGGTCATAAATTGGAAATTAACGCATTTACAAGTCTCTTTCTACTTTAATCTGTATTCTCTGAATAAATAATACCAATAATACAATACAATAATAAACACTAAAATACAATCATGATAGTTTTTAAATACTTTTCGTTAGTGTAGCCTGTTCATTTATACAAACAAATTACAACTAAATAGTAATCTGACTGGTTAGCTAGCTCTGTATGTCTAATATAAGAAAGGGACGGAATAGTAAGCACTGCGCGACCATAGTAGAGCGAAAGAGATATCATCAAGTGGCACGTTGCGCCTTTGTTTTGAAACAGCACGGCAGCGCGGCAACGCAATTACTTGCGAGCCGTAGCGTAAAAATTTGAAAATTTAGAAACCCAGGACGCTGCTTAAAAACTATTCGGGAAGTCCCAGGACACGACAAAAACTAGGATATGTCCTGGGAAAACAAGACAACCCTACCGGGGGTAATGTTTTAAGACTTAGCATTATTACTACTTAGTTGTGGAACGAGAATACAACCGTAATCCGCCTCAATATCGTCTATAGGCGCTACGGTCTTACTAGTTTTTAAAAAGAATAATAATAATAATCTACAACATACACACAACGCCATCTAGTCCCAAACTAAGCAGAGCTTGTACTATGGGTACTAGACAACTGATATAAATACATGTATACTTTTTTTTTTGTAAATACATACATATTATACATAGAAACACCCAGACCAAATCAAATATTAAATGTTCATTTAATGTTTCATGTTCAACATTGAATGTTTCACATTTTAAATAAGTTTGATAGAAACTTACTTGGAACTGATGTTCGAGGTGTGCGTGAGGGGCCAGGATCTTCTGTTATAGATTGAATACTGCTGTGCTGCATATCTGAATCTTGCGATTGCTGCGATTTGGGGTATAGGTATGGTAATATTACTATATTACAATTACTATTGTTATGGAAAAAATCGGACATTACATATCTGTGAAAAACATTTTTTACCAATTCAGGAAATGGATTCACCCTTAAATTTTGATCGCCAGCAGCGAAGTTTAGCCAGTCCAGCCAGTTTTCTCTAACGCAGCAATTCTGGCAAGCTTTCGGCTGCCCCACCTCCAGTGCGCTTCATAGAAGCAGAGGCTTGTGCGCAGTGTTTTTTTTAACGCTCATTTCTTCTCAGCCCAATACTAAAAACATTCATATATTATAATAAATTGGCAATTTGTTAGGTGGGAGAGCCATGCGTTTCTCAGCACGAATAGACCCAACTCGACCGAAGACCACAACACAACCTTTAATTTCTCACTTAAGATTATTTCCCATTATCCTCTAATCACCTTAGCATATGCTGGTGCCGTGTGCTTTCTTGTTACCTTAGTAGTGTAAAAATATACTAAGAATCGCAAAGTTATAATCAATTTGAAAGACATTACCTGTTTTTTTTTACGTGTGGAAACCCCTTCGGGCCGTCACCCAACGGGGTGGTATCTTAATCGGACCGACTAAAACCACACTGTGTGCCACTCTGCGCCTGTAATAGGAGGAATCCGTAAAATGCTGTTATTAAGACATCCGGATCCTTCCTAGCGCCTGCCCGCAACGACGCGGGCACCACCTTCAGGTACATTCTCTATTTAGGCGAAGTCCAGCACACGCGGACGTAGCCTCCTCGCGGCTGGCCTTGAAAGCTTGCTGTTCATGCTCGACTCCATTTGCAATAGACATGACGTTTGCCAATTTTTTTTTGATCAGCGGATTTTTTACTAACGGGCTGTACTTAAAGTGACTTTTCTTTTACAAATAGGGCAAAAGTTTGAAGCAGTTATTAGGCTTTTTCTGATTTCAAGCCACTCGCCGCTGTCTCTCTGTAGTATCGTAGATCTTTCTACCTTGCATCTATCAGATGTAAGTGTTTCTAAATTGCTTAGAAATTCTTTCTTTGCTGTGTCGTAATCTTTTTGCGACATATCAGGCGTTGAACAGGTTGCACCATAGTCGTGTTGCTCTTTATTTACATCTTTTAGGACTCTACGTTTCTTTACTGGATGCTCCATATTTAGTTTCCGTTTTCTTGCACGTCTTTTTTCAATCTCTTTAGCTTTGCCTCCGCAATCATTACTTGATAAAGCGGTTTGGATTGTTGAAACTGCAGATTTAGTGTTGAACTAAACAACGGCGGCACACCTTCCTTGGTAGCCCCTTCTTAGAGTTAAATTTATTATTTTGCCGCCAGTAAATCTTGCTATTATGCTGTTGAAGCACTTTACCTTATTTGTGTTTACATATTCGATCAAACTTCTTGATTTTGAAGCCACGTTGGACGTAATTGCATTAATTCTAAAAATAAAAGTTAAATTTGCATTTTTTTCCGGCTCACCATTACTGTTCTTGTCTTTGTCGCAAAAGTAACTTTGACACATTTAAGCGTGGGATACAGAGTTGATGATATCGTTGCGCAAAACTGATATTGCCACATTTTTATAATTCTGGGAGTCTTATGATGTTGAATAGATTTCACTAATGCCTTTCGCATTGCCATGATTTTGTGATTAGTGAGAGTTTTTCGGTGTGCTAACATGTACTTAGTTTCTGTGGTGACCGCTCTTAACTTTTTGTTAAAATTGCGCAATATGTGATTGCGGCATTCAAGTTTCTCAACCGTCAAATTTTGGCTTTCGTATGGATTTGCGTTAAGAATTTTAGCGTAGATTGACGCAGCTCCGTCTCCTATCATTCTGCCATATATAAGGCCATTTTGAAACCTTCAACAATTATGTCAGCTTCCATTGAACTTGCGGATCCTCCGAAATTTTTGAAACACACATCTTGATCTTGCCCGATGAAGCTTTGTAGTTCGAACCATATGATTTAGCACACGATGCCCCATCAACATAGACGTCTATAACAGGATAGCCTTTTTTTGGTTCGGCCTTCTGCTACAGCAATTTCTGTTTCTTTATTAGCCGCAACTTCCATTGCCACACAAGCAGTTTCTTCCCATTTCTCATAAACTTTATTTTGCAGTTGATTAAAATATCTTGATGAAAATGCCTATTGGAAAATATCATCATCATCATCAGCCTATAATAGTCCACTGCTGGATATAGGCCTCTCCTTAGAAATGAGGTTTTGGCCTACTATACCACGCTGGCCAGACGGGTTGGTATAGGGTTTGTTTCAAGTTTTCCTTCTCTTTGCAGTGCTGTTGTCCTGCGTAGTTTGCTCCCTCAGTCGGCTCCCACGGGATGAATAGGGGTGGTGACACTCCGTATTCTTAATCCGTCACCACACAGATTATTTATAGCCAATAATAACTCCTCGATCTGATAAAATCCTATACCAGAGGCTACAACTCCGGTGGTAGCAGCTATATTAGCATTCACCTGCTCAGTATCTACATATTGTGTTTTCGGATGGAATTAAAGAGACTTCTTTATACATATTGTACTCAAATTTAAAGATCGATATAAGTCCATTTCTTCTTTCACCAACTAAGCGCAATTTTTTTATTTGACAATTTAAGAAATTATTGTGGCGTGCTTTCTCTTGAAATTCTTGCAAAAAGTAATTGATATCAATTATCCGTCGTCCTGATATGGGTCAGAAATGATCTTCTTTGTTGTCCTTTTCAATAATTAACCCGTCGTCGTTTTTATCAGTTTCTCTGCAACAACAAATAAGATATCGAGATATTATATTACGTGGATCAAAAAATAGTAATTATATATGTACATAGCTAACATAACTTACATGTTGGCTTCAGAATCAACAACTGGTTTTGGCGCAGATATCGTAGGCATAGGAACATCTTGTAAATGTACATCAGTTGGCGGTATCGACGACCTGAAATAATAATTCCTTCAACAGAAATGATAAAAAATAATCGATCGATCGATCGATCGAATATAAAAAAATAGATCCGAATAAAACAAATATTTTTAGATTTGTATATTTTGAAAGACAAGAAAAATATCAACTAACTTAGTTGCAGATGGCAAATCAACAGGCTCTAATGTTATAAAAGATACGCGAGTCCTGTTAGAGGTATCGTCAAAAAAAAAGCAAAAAAAACACGACTTTACTAAAATGCAAATTTGAGTAGGTAAAACTTAGATAGGTAATTATAATTATTATTTTTTATTGAAAAATGGGGGAATCGGGACACTTTTTAAATTCTACATTGATTTTTATCGGTTTTTTTTGTAGTTATAGTAATAAAACGGAGATCATCATAGTGGCGGTACTTTAAATTTTCATTTATAATGCATTAAGATATAGTTTTTTAAAGAATAATCATAAAAAGTTACAAAAACTTACTTGTCCCTATTCACCCAGGCGTTGGGGTGAATCGGGTCGCTTAAGGGGTTAATAGAGTTTTTCGCTGGGGCTGACACTTTCATACTATAGGTAGGCACCTACAATACCTACCTGGTAGGTAGTGTCTTTTTAGGTTACGTGCTTGACATATACCTACCATTTTTTAAAGTCTTCTAATATATTATCATAAATAAAGTTAGAAATGTAGTGAAAAATAAAAATCCATTACTGAAATCAACGTTTGCATAATATTAATTTACTTAAAATTAAACAAAGCAGAAAATAAACCTTACTTCCAAATAAACATAAAATAAAGCCCTCTCAAATAAAACTTAATTAAAATTTCTGACAGGCAAACTTAAAAAATATAAAAAATAGACCGTTTTTTTTTTTAATTCATACGAAGTTATGTATTTAATAATTGATTATTAAATAAACAGTAGATATTTGTTTAATAATTAATTATTGAATAAATACGTGTGTTTTTTCAATAATCAACACAAGTAATACTCGTACTCACACTCTGTGGATTTTTGCGTCCGAAATAAAGTTATTTTTTATTATTATTGATTATTAATACGATAAACAATTACAAGTCATAGCTCAAACTCACTCATTCTCTAGAATCTTTAAGATTTCATAACTGTCATTACAGTAATTCTTTTTCTTAGTTACATTTATTTTTTGGTTTATGGCTACTGGTTTCAAAGTCTGCTTTGTTGGATTTTTCGGAAAAAGTTTTGTTAATTGTTCTAAAGGTATTTTTGTATTACTATTAATAATAATGTTCGGCTCATTTGTAGTGCTAGTACTGGCGTGTTCATTTTCAATTTCTATCAGATTTGTTTCTTCTGTCACATTTGTTCCTTCCAAATCTGTAGGTCCGCACCATGGCATTACTATTTCTTCATACAATTGTAAATCTTCTGATAGCACAACGGGTATTTTTTCAACTTCTATATGACGCCAATCATTACGCTGTTCTTGATCATTATCAGATGCGGGCAAATTGTTCGTTTCAGTTATGATTGATTCGAATGCCCTTGAACAATGTGCTGTTGGCGATGGCGATTTATTTTCTTTTTCATCACATATTATGTATGTCACACTGTCTAAGCCGCAATATGATCCTCCCAATCCTCGATGAAATCCTTCCTGTTGTTTATCACATACTAAACTTTTCAATTACCTACAGCGTATTTCCAACGGCTTGGAAGGATGCTGAAGTTATACCCATCCCCAAAAAGAAAAACCCCGCATCCTTCTCCGATTACCGCCCTATTTCAGTCCTCCCTTTTCTATCCAAGGTCCTTGAACGTCTTATTCATTCTCAACTCACGAATTTCCTATCCAGAAACGTGCTCCTAAATCCTCTCCAGTCCGGTTTTCGACCTGGTCACAGTACCACTACTACCCTAGTCCATATTAAGGAGAATATCAGATCTGCTATGGAGAACGGCGAGCTTACAGTTCTAACACTGCTGGACTTCAGTAACGCATTCAACACGGTCGACTTTGACGTTCTGCTGTGTACATTACGCACTCTTAACATATCTCCAACTGCGATTGACTGGTTTCGCAACTACCTGCTTGGTCGCCGGCAGCGCATTAGTATTGAGAGCACTGTTTCATCTTGGTGTAGTACTACAGCCGGTGTACCGCAGGGCGGCGTGCTATCTCCCCTACTTTTCTCTGTTTTTATCAACACTATCACTAATGATCTATCGTCTTCCTACCACCTGTATGCTGATGATCTCCAGATCTATTCTAGGGCTACACTAGGTAATCTGGCTGATGCTGTTGGCACCACAAATGATGACCTAGATAAAATATGTAGGTGGAGCAACTCCCACGGTCTGAAAATAAACCCAACTAAAACTCAGGTCATTGTTGTTGGAAGTTCGAGAATGATCTCCAAAATTGACTGGACAAATCTGGGTTCAAATCACTTGCAACGGCATACTTATTCCGTACAGCGATAGGGTAAAAAACCTGGGCATTTACATTGATACTACCTTATCTTGGGGACCTCAGTTACAAGAGCTGAGTCGCAAAATGTTTGCCGCTGCAGGGTCCTTGCGCCGACTTCGCAACTTTCTACCTACTACTACCAAGATTACTCTTGCACAATCCCTTCTTCTCCCCATCCTTGATTATGCTGATGCCAGCTATCTAGACCTTACTGAAGACAAATTGAATAAGCTTGAGAGGCTCCAAAATCTCTGCATAAGATTCATATTTGGACTTCGCAAATATGATCATGTTTCTGAATTTCGCAAAAAGCTTAAGTGGTTACCCATTCGCCTTCGCCGCAATGCACATATTCTTTCTCTTCTCTATAGTATTCTATTTAATCCTTCTATTCCACAGTACCTCAAATCACGGTTTACGTTTTTGAATGACACACACTCCAAACTGTTGAGATCGTCAGAGAACCTAAAACTAAAAATGCCGGAACATTCCACAAAATTCCTTGACGGCTCCTTCTCTGTCCAAGCAGTTCGGTTGTGGAATACCCTACCGGTCGCAATCAGACGGGCACAATCACTTGCCTCATTTAAGAAACTAGTGAAAGAGTACTACCTGGAAGACGGCAACGTCAATTAACTTCTTCTTAGTCGACTAGGTCACACTTTTTCTTATAATATATGTATTTATAACTTATAAATTTTTTATTTATTTTTTATTTTTATATTCACCTAAGGTCAACAAATAGATATTATGTGTAATTATCACTTTTTATAGTTATGTATATACTACTTTGATTTCTTCTTCTTATTCTTCTTTCCTAACACACCAGCAACTACCCAATACCTCCTCCTCTTCATGTTTTCTCTCCATACCACGGTTGCCTGTAAGAGATTGCCTCTGGGCGATAAGGCCGCCACTTGTACTGAACTAGTTTTAGGTAATTATGTATAGTTATATCTGGTGTACAATAAAGTGATATATTATTATTATTATTTTGGTTTTTTCCTACACCTTTACCTTTGGCACTTTTTGTAATATTTATTTTTTGGATTCGTTTCTTTTTTATTTCAGGTTTAGTATCTGTGTCAGCGTAACTTTCTACGTCCTCGTGTGAAACACTTCGACCTGAAATTTGAATAGGTAAAAAATATTTTTGTGAGGACATAAAATGTAGGTCAGTGTGTGAATGAAATTTGAGATTTTTTTGAGTTAAGTACCTACTATCTGTAAGTATGAATGCATTTGAGATATTGTGTATTAGGTACCTACTGTGTGTTAGGTCGAATGCATGTGAGTTTTAGTAATTATTTACCTGAAATATCATGATTTTGTTTTTATTCTTTGGTTCTTTAATATTTATACTTCCGTATCGAATTTCTTTTAATAAATTTAAAACTGACTTGTCTATTGCTTCTTTAACCTCTTCATCATTCTGCGTCTCTTCCGGTAATCTTGCCAACACTTCATTAGGATTAAATGGAGTGATACCTAATAAAGGAACATTCATATAGTTATTATTCATTTCAGGATACTTTAATTTATTAAATAAAACATAGTAAAATGAGTTATCTGTATTCTCTATAATGCTTACCAGTCTTATGAAATCCTGCCCGAATGTTATTTTCCGAATTTATATTAATTTGATCCATGAGCAACTTTAACATCTTTGGGAAGCAACCTTTTGGTACACATGATAGTAAACGGCCGTCCGTTTTCTTCCATTTTTAAAGAATTTGACGCCAGGCTACTTTCAGCGGGTGGAAAAACGCCACATCTAGCGGCTGCGTGAGATGTGTTGAATTTGCCGGTAAAAAGACAAAATGAATGTCAAAATTCTAACAGATATCTATCAGTTCTATCGATAAGTGAGACGATAGGTTATCGCCTATCAAGACTGTTTTCCCTTGCTTATTTTTTAAAAATGGAATGACCACTTCCTTGACCCAGTCTTTAAACACTTCTGCATCAAATCACCCTGACGACGTTCGGTTATATCTTGCGTTTACGGGTTCATTTTTCACCCACTTATCATAAAGGTTTGTGGATTTATAAACCACATACGGTGGTAATAGCTCTCCTTCTGTAGTTCCTGCCATCATAAGTAATATTGAAGCTTTAGAATGATTTAAAACACGTTCTGGATATTTACATCCTCGCCTCGTTATAACTTTGTGACGGCCTGGGTCGTCCGATAAATTAGTCTCATCATAAATAATAATATTGCTCAGCGGCACATTTTCAAGTGACTTTTCTAATTCCGAAAAATATTTATTGATAATGGTTGGTGATGTGGCTGTTCTAGCGCGTTTCATGTTTTGACATAGCCTCTCCGAAATTGTACTTTTATGCCGTTCCAAAAAATTAAAGACAAATTCTCTCGTCTTAGGTTGATGCCCTTGTTGTTACATGGCGTACATAATTTGACAGATACCAGCATAGTCGCTAGTAACTTCATAGGCACAAGCGACTTCGTCGCGAAGGTGACACATTGGGTAGCGTAAGTTGACAGGAGATGGATACTCCCCTAACAAATTAACTTGACCTTCTATCCGCTCGGAAGGTGTTAACCGAGCTAATGAAGTATAGTTGCGAACGTTACTTAATGGAACGCTTCGACGATAGTAAGCGTCGAGGTCTTCACCAGCATTGCGCTCAGGTACACGCAGGTTTCCCATGCGATTACTTATTAACAAAGATGGTCTACCACTTAAGTTAATATCAATGGGACCGCCCACCATTTTGGGGACATACTTCTGGAGCGAAGCCAAGAATGGCGCTATCAACAGGGAATCTCTTCTAAAGTCATCAACAATGTCGAAATGTTTAGGAATGATCTCATTCGGGTTCATAAGAATGTGATCGGCCCATATGGCACCAGGAATACTAGAGTTAGCCTCTCGACGTAGATTAGATAAGAGAAGTCACTCTGGTCTAGGAATAATCCTATTGTTGACATCTCTGGGTTCGGCAGCAACAGCGGGAAGAAATATTTTGTCTTCATATTTAAGATGACCAATTGCATTGATGATCTTCTTAATAGGCTCCGGAGCGATGGTGACAGCTTGAGCGACACGTAACATGTCACTAGTTACTCCATACTCATAGGTTGCTTGAGTAAGACGAGGAACGACGGGTGATTCACGTTTAATGTATTCTAGTTTGGCTTCGTCTAGCCCTAAGAACACTCGATACATCGCGTAGATGTTGGGGACTTGGATGTTTTGATGATATGATATTGATATATAAGTTAAATGAAATAATCCTAGTCCAATTCCACGAGTTGTTTTTGATAGGGTGACGAGATCCCTACGGCTTCCACAATCTCTTGCACTTTCAATCTTCGGTCGGCCAACACCATATCGTGAATTTTTTCGATTGTTTCGGGTGAAGAGACCTCAACTGGGCGTCCAGGACGTTCGGCATCTTCAGTGTTTGTACGGCCACAACGAAATTCAGTAAACCACTTTTTTACCATTGAAATCGATGGTGCAGAGTCCCTATAGTATTTATCAAGCTTAGCCTTGGTCTCGGTAATGGTTTTCTTTCGCAAAAAATAATGCTTAATAAGCACACGAAATTCACTTTTTTCCATTTTTTCCTTAAATTACTGGGTAGTCTGATAAAGATAGCTGTCAAACACAAATTAACTGACGCAGCAAGTTCAAATTTTGACAGGAGTCAACTGACAGATGCCTGTTGACAGGAGTAGTGTTGCTTTTTCAGTAAAGAGGTCAGAAATTCAAAAAGTCACGGACTTATTGACCCGCCCTCGTATTATCTTGCATTTCATATTTTGCAAATAATGTTGCAATATCTAATTTGAGCTTACTTTGCATGCGAGCCGGCATTTTTTTCATAGAAGTCGCATAACTTTGAAATTAATAATCAATTACATCAAGGCTTCTCTTGTTCTGTCTTTTCTCGTGTAAATATTTTAACAGTTGCTGTTGTGGATCTGAATCACCTTTTTGTGTCGTATTTTTATTTTTGGCAGAATTTCTAGAGTAAATACTATTACTGGAACCGGGACGGGAGAGGTTCTCAGAGTCAGAGACAGAATCTCGTAAATCAACACTGTTACAGTAGAACTCCAATTATCCGAATTAATGGGGACCGGGACCCATTCGGATAATCAAATATTCGGATAATCGGATTTTTTAAAAAAAAATTGCCATTGGAGAGAATAAAAGCTACGTTTTGATATTGCACTATTTTTTATTGAATTAAATGAAAGAAACATGAAATTTTCACATGTTTTAAATATAAAAAAAATGTACTTATGTACAAGTTTAGAAATAAAAATCATTGTTTTTTAAACATCTCCGTCAATGTAAGCTGTTTTGCGGTCTTCAACCGTTTTCGGGCAGCCAGGTCACGCATTCGCTTGACGGTGAGCAGTTGCAAGTGGTCACACTCGGGCTGACGCTCCATCCACTTCAAAGTAGTCTCGAGGCCGGCAAATGCTTCACTAGCTGATGGTCCAGCGTCTACTTCAACATCAGCAGAAAGTTCTTCTTCCACTTCCACTTCAACATCTTCTCTCACACTTACAACAATTTCATCGTCATTGAGAATTTGAAAACCAGGGTCAGACGTGTCACAAGCCATCCACTCTCCTACATCTTCAGCACTTACTTCTGTACAACCAGGCATTTTTACAATCATTTTTCTTATTTCGTCTAGTGACAACGCATCTTTATCATCATCATCCTCTCCATATTCTTGTTTCTCATTTTCTTCAGATTCTTTTTTTTTGTTCTTCTCAGACGGTAGGCCTTTCAGTTTATTCCACGCACGTCTTAGCGTCACTGCCGTAACCAAACTCCAAGCTTCCGCTACCATGTAACAGCAGTCCTTTAAATTTATTTTGCTATGATTTGCCAAAACCAATTCTTCATCTTCAGCACCTTCGATCAGCAGTTTTCTCAGCAGTTGCCTTCTGTAATGGCGCTTCATTGTTTCAATAACAGACTGGTCCATGGGTTGCAGCAAACTTGTAACATTGGGAGGCAAAAACGTCGTTTTAAACTGCCCATTCTCTCTTTCCAACAGTTCTGCTGTAGGATGAGTGGGTGCGTTATCAACAATTAAAAGCACCTTACTGCCTTCTTTTCCCACCGATTTTTGGTGCTTTTTCACTTCAGGAATAAACACTTCATCATACCATTCGGTAAACAAAGCTGCAGTCATCCAGGCCTTGGGTTGACTTTTGTAGAAGAGTGGAAGTTTTTTTACGTTTTTAAATGCTCTTGGATTTCTTGATTTTCCTATCAAAAGAAGTGGCAGTTTATGATTTCCAGTGGAGTTGGCACAGTTAAGCACTGTAACACGTTCTTTACTGACCTTATGTCCAGGGGCACTAGATTCCCTTTTAGAAGCCAAAGTGGTTTTTGGTAATGCTTTCCAAACAAGGCCAGTTTCATCGGCATTATAAACAAACTCCGGATCATAGGATTCTGATGCAGTTTTAAATTTTTCAATAAAATTTTCAGCAGCTGCAGAGTCTGCTGAAAGCTTCTCACCAGCCAAATCTAACTCGCGTACACCATGCCTGAATTTAAAATTCCTTAGCCAGCCGTTACTAGCCTTAAAAGATGAATAACCAAGCTTTTCTGCTAAGATTTTGGCTTTTTCACAAAGGATTGGACCTGAAATCGGATTTCCCATAGAACGTTGCTGCAAAAACCAAACTTATTTTATTATTTTCATCAAGCTTACTTAGCATCAAGCTTAGCTTCACAAAACTTATTTTCATCAAGATCGATAACGACAGGCATCATATTGTCATATAATGTTGCTTTCGTGGTTTTTCTCATGCCATTACTATCAAATAAAGATGTCGGATACGGGCTTAGTTCATACTGAAGATATTCTTGTAAATTACTTTCAAATTTTTTGCTTACAGTTATTCTCTGGAAAAGTAACATTGGATCTATAGAAACTTTACAATCATTAATTTTGACAGATTTGTTAATGGCTGAAAGCGGTAAAACCTTATCGACGCGTTTTAACTTTATTTCGTTGAAGTTCAAACCAGTTATCTTTACCATAGATTGCAATCCGATTTCATGGGCTCGGTGACAATTAATTTGGTCATTTCCAACGATTCCTGAAGCTAAGGATACCAACTGATTCGTATTTGGAAAGGGATTATGAAGCGTAAACCAACCAACCAGTTCATTTACATCAGTATCATCCCTTTTTATTCGTGAATCTCTAGCATCAACATGTTGGTCCACAGAATCGAAAGAAATGTTACAAAACCGTTCAATTTCTTCACAAATTGTATTCGTGGCATACATAGCATATACCCACTTACATAGAACACTTTCTTGTGTACTTCGGCCTCGAGATACTCCTCCTTCTGTCTTCATAGATTTCATCAGACTTTGCTCGATTACCATGTCTGTCCATGTACCAGAATTGAATTTTTCTGTTCGTTTTACAGTAAAGAATCCGTTTTTAAAGTTCTCAAAAGCCTGTTGATCCATTGTCTCCTCAAGTTTTAACATATCTTGAAGATACAAATGAGCTGATTTCGCATATAGGAAATGACCACCAGCATGAAAATAGGGCAGCATTTTTCGCACTGCATCCAAATGTTCTTGAAAAAGTCCCAGCCTTTCAGCGCGAATGAAATCTAGGGCTATTGATACCATTTCAAAATATTGCACCCATAACTGTGCCGTGGGACCTCGAGCTTTTAATTCTTTTAGTTTATCCTGAAATTGATCAATTGACGAGTTGGAGCTGCTCGTACATCCTTCAACATCTTCGTAGGAAACATCGCGACTAGTTATCTGTTCAATTAACTCATCTAACACACAATTTTCAATTTTCATCTCTTCAAAAATCTTTATTGATAATGCAAGTCGTAATAATATATGGCCTCTGATACTTCTTGCATAAGCGTGACCATTCAACATTTTGTCGACCGAATTTGTAGCATATATTTTACTTAAAGCTTCCTTGAGACCACTTCCGTCCATTACATGTCCTATGCATCCAAGAAAAGACATGAGCATATGAAATCCTCCAAGTTTGACAACTGTTTTAGACAAGTCTGAGTTTGCATCTGACGCAGCAACCATTTCACGTGCTTTTGAGTACAGGGGCTGATCAAATGTAATTATGCACGTTTTTTGTTGATGTGACTTGGCAATATTTATAGCACTATGTAAAGTTGTATAAATTGTGTCTAAATTACTGGCAGGATGATCAATGAAAGGTAGAAATATAACCTGAGAAGTTGAAAAATTTTGATTATTTTTCGTAAGTTGTTGAAGATAGCCATTCCACCCTGGCAACGGTGAAAGATTCTTCCATTTTCCGTATAACCACAACAAATCAACTGCATTAAATTATTTTTCAATCAGTACTTGATCATCATGTAGATTTTGGACTTGAATCTTGCTGTACCCAGGTACAACTGGCTTTTCATATGCTAAAAGAGATACATGTGATATTGCTGCTAACTCTTTTGCACTCGGTTTAGTTGTACATTTTTTTATGCGATCATCATAAATTACAGCATCTTTCGGAGTAATTATTTTTATCATTCCCATAACGTGAAGAGTATTATTACCGTCAAGAGTACTGACATTAATATCTGCATTGTCTCCAACATATTGTACCAACGCACCAGACTCTGATGGTAAAATACGAGGTTGTGGATGGTAAACTGATGAAACTTCATACTGTATGGTATTACTATATGATGCAGCAAATCCTAAAGATGATAAAACATCCAACAATTTTTTAGACCCATATCTTCTGTGAAGAAATACGGAAAGGCCCAACAGTAGCTGTGATGAAAATGAACGTTCTCGTATCGAAGCCATTATTGCGTGGCTAATAGATGTGCATTTCGTTTTTAAATGATCTACTTGTCCTTTTCTATTTTTTAATATCATTTCTTCCAAAAAATGTGATAATGTTTTTGGTATTTCTTCATTAATACAATCTAGCATTTTATTCGGAGGTGGATACGTTTTTGTTTCAACTACAGATGATCTGATGTCTTCCCTAATAATAGCCGCAGCAGCTTCTACAATCCGTAGACGTTCTTCTACAGGAGTACTTTTTTTATTTTCGTACCAAGCTTTTGATAATACGTTAAGCTGTGTATCACGGAAAGATATAATTGTAAATGATCAAATTTTTTTTGTGATTATTATATCAGTTAAATACTTTTGTTGTAATTTTGTAATAATTGTCTTATCGTCAGGTATGTATTCCGTAGGGACATCTTTAAGTTCTTTCAAAGTAAATTGAGAATCTTCATTATTTTCTATATAATAAAAAATCTCCTTCATTGCTTGAGTGACTTGATCATCTTGGCGAGGCTTTTTATCTGCAGATGGTACTCGGGTTAAAAAGTTGGTATAGCAAATAGTATGATACTTTGCTTCAGCAGCGATCAAATCATACTCGTAATATATACGTTCCTTTACTAATTCTCCTAAGGAATCGTTTCGTTCTTCTGCTCTCTTAATTACGTTGTCTTTGAATGCAAGAGTACTTACATTACTTATTGTCCGTCTATACTTTAATTTTTTTTTCTTTTCTGCTATTTCATCAGCTTCTTGGCCACAAAATAAGCATAACTTTCCAAAATCAAAGACTTCATTTCGTTTTTTACGAGGTGCACTTGACGTTGAAGGTTCACTCTCATCTGTGCGTCGTTTTGATGCAATAATAACATTTTTACTCGTGTACACTTTTCGACACTCGGAATGCACATTTACAGAACTTAAAGTATTTAAATAGTCTATATGTCCATCATTTCTTTCAATACTTGCAGTTTTTAAAGTTTGTAAACCACGTACGACATTCACAGAAACACCTTCTGAAAGTTTCTTATCACATATAAAACACAAATCAGCCATAGCTCTTAAAACCGTATGTCCGTAGTTGCAACGGTACAATTTCAAACTAACGAATAATCTTGACTCATACAAAGTGGAGAGAGTGGCCTTGAATACTATAGAACATCTGTCCCGGCAATGAATAGAAAAGGGCATAGGGTAGGGACAAGTATTTCCAGGTATATAAGTATTGAGAAATTTACGCGTTTTAAAGAAAAGATATATAATGTCGTGTTAACTTAAAATAAAACTAAAATATATAATCCAGAATTAATAATATTTTATACTTAAATAGTTAAATATGAATAATTATATATAAATAATCAAGTTACTTACTTTAATTAAATATAAATAATTAATAGTTAGTACATAAATAATAGGCATTGTTTAATAATTATAATTTCCAAGTAAATAATTGACTTTATAACGTACTGATAACCATAACTCACGCTTGACCTTGCATTAGGCCGTATATGACTGTACGATGTGCACTCTTCGCGCTCTACCTTCAAAACGGTTGGTCGTATGAAAAAAAAGTTTAAACAAAAGTTGTAGGGAATTTTATAGCCTACAACTTTTATAATAAATGCAAATCTCATTTAACCGATAGGAAGCCAGATATTCGCGAAAAACCGATTTTTGTGACCTTTGACCTTGAATATCTTGAGACGCGGACACGATAACGATTGTGACTTTTGAGACAACATTTAGAATGACAAAACAAAGGTTCATACCAATTTGCAGCTTATTATCTTTCATTCCGAGGTTGACCCCTTTTTTTACCTAATATGACTGGGCTATTACCTGTCTGGTCGCCGGCAACGGATTTGTATTGATGACTCCATGTCCTCTTGGTGCAGTATTTCTGCTGGTGTACCGCAGGGTGGCGTTCTATCTCCTTTACTCTTCGCTGTTTTTATAAACTCAATCTCTAATCAACTAAGTTCCTTCTACCACTTTTATGCAGATGATTTACAAATATATACACAAGCTCCGATTAACATGTTATCGGATACATTCAACATAATTAATGCTGACCTTCAACGCATTGGCGAATGGAGTTATAACTATGGACTTATGATTAATCCTATGAAGACACAGGTGTGTGTTATTGGCAGCCCCAGGCTGATCTCAAAAGTTAACTGGACTCTACTGCCCCAAATTCAGTTCGGTGGCACAACTCTTGAGATAAGCACTACTGTAAAAAATTTAGGGATCTACATGGACAACACTTTATGATGGGGTTCACAGATGCAAGAGGTCAGTCGTAGGATATTTGCTTCAGCCGGTTCTCTTCGAAGACTACGCAAATTCCTTCCAACTGCAACTAGGGTTGCGCTTGCACAAGCACTTCTCCTCCCAATTCTCGACTATGCCGATGTCAGCTATCTGAATCTCACTGAAGCACAACTCGATAAGCTTGAGCGACTACAAAATATGTGTATACGGTTCGTATTTGGTTTAACGAAAATACGATCACGTTTCTGAATTCCGTCAAATGCTCAAGTGGCTTCCAATTCGCTCTCGCCGGAATACTCATATCCTTATTTTCCTTTACAACATTTTATTTAATCCCAAAACCCCTTTCTATCTCAAAGAATGATTCAAGTTCCTTAATGACCCACACGAAAAATGTCTGCGGTCATCCGTAAGTTTACAACTGGAGATGCCACTGCATTCCACCAAATTTTATGATCAATCCTTCACTGTTGAAGCTGTGCGCTTGTGGAATGCACTGCCGCTTAACATCAGGCAGGCGCAAACATTAAATAGATTCAAGAAAATGGTACAGGAATTTTATTCACCTTAATTGAGTCCATCACGCTTGAGGGTGTAACGAAACTGTTTCTCTTTTCCATATGTTTATTCATTTAAGAATGCGTATATATATATATATATATAATATATGTATGTGTATATGTAAATTTGCTGGTATAGTATGTAGGTACTTATATATATGTAGGTTTATTTATTGTGATATGCATTGTAGATGTAAGTATAAAAATTGTAAATGTTTGTAGATAATATAATATGTGTAGTATATGTAATATGTATAGTAGATAATAATAAACTAATAGTAGGTTCACAAATGAAGATATTCAACTACTACTGTCTCTCTGCAACTTTTGATCCATCCTAAGGTTGCCTGGAAGAAATTGCATTTGGCAATAAGGCCGCCCTTTGTACACTCGATACTTGATCGCTGTGTTCCTTTCTTGTAACTCTGTAATTTAGTGTGCAAATAAAGAGTTATCTATCTATCTATCTATCTATTTTTTTTTTTCATGAGGGTTATATACAATGTAACGTAGTAATGATAACTATTCTACAATTAAAACTATTCTTTTATCTCCGTGTGGAAAGGTACAATAATCTAGTAAAATATATCTTACCTTAAACGTCAATAATTCTCAGAATCACTTCTATCTTTTGAGGTTTTAAAATTAAGTATTTTATTGAATTATCCACAACACCGCGATCGGCAAGAATCAATAAATAACACATAACTAAAACAAACCTCTTTTATAAATGGTTCACATCATGTTTATACATAGAAAGATTAAAACTTACAAAATAAAATATTCATCAGTTTCTTATTGGTTGGTAGCTAACAGAACTTTATTTTAATTGGCGGATTGTTTGTTACGATACTCGATGGCAATGTCAGGGAATCCCCGGTTAATTTTTCAGTGTTACCAACCTCGATCACAAATAATTTGTATTGGCCGGGTGCCCATTGTACCGATAAGGGATAGGATACCTATCATAAGGTTAAAAAAAAACACTCGTGAGTCTCGCGTCTCGAATTTAAACTTCTTTGGTTCTGGAAATAGTTTATTAAATGCATTGCTCTTTATGCATTTGGTAATGATCTTACTATATCAGGATTACGAAATGGTTATGAAAAATTCAATTGGAGGAAATCTCTCTTGAAGTAATAAAATATTTTAAACTTCCCGCTAAGAAAATTGAAAATTTTCAAAAATTCGGGAAGTTATTGGTTTTACCTCGTTTTTCAAAAATCGAGTTTTCATCAGATCTCGACGTTTTGAGATCCTAGGAAGCTTCCCTGACTGTCTGTATGTATGTGTGTGTGTATGTTGTATGTATGTATGTGACCCACTTATAACTTTGAACGACTTGACCGATTGGAATGAACTAAACGGGGTTCCGAAGAGTTCCACCAAACTTAGATTTCTTGACAATTTGAAACAATTCGAACCAGTAGATTTTGAGAAATCTCAAAAATTAAAAGGTTTTTTTTTTGGAATTACTTTCTAACGGCTTTATCGATCAACTCCAAAAACTAATCAGCTCTTAACCTTGAAAAACCTTGTCGAAAGAAAACCAAAAAAAATGTTTTTTCGGATTCACTTCGAAATTCCTAGTTCGATTTTATGAACAGTTTATAAACAGTGTTTATTATCAAATGTTTAGTAATGAATACGTGGCTTTATTGTTACAGGATTGAGTTTATTTCAGCTTTTAAAAAAATGGGAAATGGTTCACTCTGTCCACCCGATGGGACTCAGTGAACCGTGGGGTAGGTCAACAGTGAACCGGTATGTACACAGTGAATCGTCCCATTCCCAAAGTGTTTTGATTTACAGAGATCCATCACTCGACCAACTTATTATAATCCGGTCTAGCCTGTGGCATACAGTATCCATAACTACATCAGTCTAGCCTATGGCTTTCAGTATTCGTATCTAAATCAACTTAATACTATTCAGTCTAGCCTTTGTCAATATCCTACACTAAATCAACTAACTAATCAGACTAGCTTTAGGTATAGGTACTTGCAGTATCAATAACTAAATGAGTTTTATTCATCGTACCTATTCAGTATTAATTATTAATAAACAATTGGTTTTAGTACTATAAAATTTTAAAAAGGAAAGTTCAAAAGTGGCGACTACTGCCTTTTACTTTGGGGGTCCATTAATATATATTTGTTATTATATATATATTTGTTTTGTCCATTATTTTATCTACGGGCTCAGCAAAACTGTGATACACTTTACTTTTCAATTTCAAATAAGAAACGGAATAATCAAAATCGTCTTCGGAACTCTTCTAAAATTTTCGCGACGTAATAGCATTTTTTCTTTTTTATCTCTGATTCAATCAAAATTATAACAAAATCTCCTGATCTTGGGATTCTATGTAGAGGTTGAAAGTCTTCGGTCAATATAATATCATCATCTTCACTATCACTTATGAAATGGGTTCCACCAGACGAAGATCCACTTGCGTTAAAAGAGTCTTCTGCGCTAGAATCATCATCAATGATTAAGGTGCTTTTATTCTTAGATTTCTTGTTTCTTTAAACAGATCTCCTGTCTTCACTTTTTTCGCTTTAACTTTGTCGCTATTAAATCTTTCTCAGGAGTATCAGTGACTATCATGCTTCTTCCCAAGGGTCTGCTCCGTTTCTTGATTTTCCCAGGGCCGGCTTTTAGAGGTAGTCTAAAATTTTGTGGCGAAATAAAACTGTTTACGAAAACGAGGTAAACGAGGTATCTCATCAAAGTTTACAGTGATCAGGTTATGAACTTCTTGTGATAGTTCTACTTGTGGTGAGTTAAACTTAGGAGATCGAATTTGCTGAGATGGCTCTTCCACTAAAATTGAAGGAGAGGTAGGGGGAGTAGGATGTGAATCATGTTTCTCTATTTCAATCTCTGCATCTGTTTCATCAATGTCTTGTCCCGGTTCTGGTCTATCTGTCACAGTACTCGGTACAAAATCCTCTTCTGTAAATACCGATTCATTGTATGGATAAATACCGCATTTTCTAAATGCATTAGTTTCGCCTGGTCCCATATGGCAGGGTGACACTGCACTTTACAATTACCCTTTCTGTATCGTAAGACATTTTGTCCGAGCGTGCGTGCGGCCCGTGTCACCTAGCGTTATCGACTGAACAAGCCCGTGCGTGTTACCGCTGGCGGACACCGCGCGTGCCCCCGCGACAAGTCCCGTCGCACGGAGGCGGGCCCAGTTGCGTGAGTGCGGGGCGCGCCTCCTCGTGACGGACGTCCGCGCAGGTCCCCGCGACGTAGCACTTTCGTATGAAGCCGCGCAGGCGCCCGCTTAACGCAGTTTCAGCCCTTAAGGGGATAAGGGTCCTGTTGACTCAATTTACGGTAAATGATGAGATATCATCAGAGCATGAGGGCGTCAATGATCAAATTGATGAACCAGAGCCACCAACAGACCAAGCAGCCAATGTAAGCTCAGTAGATAGATTTTCCATACGCCAAGCAATTATTGATGGTTACAATTAAATTATATTTAACATAAAAAATATTGTATTAGGTCTTTACCTATGAAATTGCCGTTTTGTATGCAATAAGTAAAAGTACTTATTTTTTCAAACTTTTTTATTTCTGTTTTCTCTGTGTTTCTCTGTTTATTCGAAGTAATCACCCATGCAATCGACGCATCTTTGCCAACGCATTGGCAGTTTATTGAAAACTGCCAATGCGTATATTATTGCCAATATAATATATGCCAATATTATTCTTGTAAAAATCAGGTGGACGGGAGGCAACAAACTCATCAAAGGCATTTTGTACTGCCTCTCGGGAATTGAATTTTTTACCCACTAAAAAGTTGTCTAAATTTTGGAAAAAGTAATAGTCGGTAGGTGCAAGGTCTGGTGGTCACATCTGCAACCAACTTTGGTCAATCGGTCGTCCCCACTGCTCCTAAAGACCTATTATTAGTTTTATTTTTCAAGACTGATATTTTTAGAATGCCTAAACTTTCCATTAGTCAAATATGTCTGATAACTAAAAGTTTTATGTGAATAATTTATTCAAATAGTTAACTAAAGCTATACACTATAAAGGGTATATAAAAGACCATTTATATAGCTTTTAAATACATAAAACTTTGATATACCCAGCAATATAATAACATTAATAAATATTTTTAATGTATAATAATATCCTAGTACTGTAATACTTGTGAATAACTATTATTCACATAATTTTGTTATACCCACCAATATTATTATCATTAATAAATATTTTTAATGTAAAATAATGTCCTAGGTAAAGGCAAAACAACCAATAAGGTTAATTTTTGAAGTAAAATACATAATTTACTTAGGAGATCAGTTATTATATTAAAAAATAATCAACATATAAACAACAAAACATAATATTATAATAGGTAAACACAACACATACTAACAAAAAATATAGCAATCTGGACCAAAATTACAGTCTCCTAATAAAGATACCTTATCTAATATCAGCACAGTTCTCGTTGTGCCAAATCTGCTCTAGCTTTAGTTTCTCTTAGGTTTTCTTTTAATATCTCCACTTCTAATGAATGCTTTTCTTCTTCAATTTTTTTCCCATACTGTGTACTTCTTCGGCCCTTTTCTCTCTACTTAAGTGCTCACGTTTTAAAATTTGCACCCTTAATTTTTTTTCATTAATTGAGTAATTGACGGCATGTTGTGTTGCTGGTGGGAAATCAGTTTGTGGTGACATCGGGTTGTTTGAGGGTCATTTTGTGGTGGAGATGTTGGTGGTAGCAGAAAAGATGTGGATGGTCCTATTATATTGGTGTTTGCAGGTGCAGATAATTGTTCTGGGTTATAAATGAGAGGTGTGGATACTTCTGGCTGGGTTTGGTATATTTCTGTAACATAATATAATAGCTATTATTAGAAATACATGTTATTTCATGTAATTTAACAAATAATCTAATCTATATACATATTTAAAATCGAGTCTATCTGCCTGTGTGACAATATGAAGTCTGACCAATATATTAACTTACATTGAACATATTGATCAGAAGGAAAGCTGAGCTTTACAAAATGGCCTCACCATGTAAATAACACTCATACAAAAGTATGACACTATTTCTTTAAAACCACACAGAAGTAAATGGCAGTCTGTATTATCTACCTCCTAGGAAGGCAGGCATTGGAATGAGATTATATGTACATGTCGGTATCTGTCTCCTAATACTCACCACTCTCCTAATACTCACCATACAGAGTATCAGAGTCTAGAGCGTTTGGTATCTCTACTAGGAGAGCTGGTGCAATTTCTGCAATGTTTGCATCGATTACAGCATTAGGACAAGGACCTCCTCCACCTGTGGCCAATCCGTGCTGTCGTTCTCTTGTAAGAGAGTCCCTATGGCGTGTTTTGAGGTTGATCCAAAGGCGGCGTAATTGTTCTCCTGTAGCCTGCAGCATAAGCAGAAACACAAAGATATAGGAACATTTTACTTATGACAAATTACATTTAAAAACACAAAATATACTTACTGATTCTGTTACAACAGCTGAGGTATTAAACCTGTCTGCAATATCAACCTAGGCTTGCTTTTTTAAGTTGGCATGTATGTTGTCGGTTTTCTTATTTTCAATTATATGTCTATACGATTTCAAAATTTCTAAAAGTAGGTTTTTCTCCTGAAAGACAATAAATTTGTATTATAACATTTTATAAAACGTACATTTGTACGTTTTATAAAATGTTATAATTTATTATTGTTATATTATAATTTATTGTTGAAATAATCAATGAGACTTCTTATCTTGAATAAGGGGTCCTCACTTTCTAACTCTGAGGTAAAATGTAGACACCTCATTATAAGCAGAAATCTGTTTCTGCTCATTTGCTGAGCAAAAATCGGTATTGAAAATAGTCTATCTGTTTTCCAATAATCATTTAGACGACTCAGAGGTATAGTCCCCATGTGGAATAAGAGGCCGAGAAAAATTCTCATCTCAGGGACGGTCACATCTTTCCAAGAGATAATTTTCGAATAATCTCTACCTCTATTTGGTTCTTCCTCATTTCGTGGCCGTTTATGAGCATCTAATAATCTTTGAGCCTGGGCATTTGTCTCACTACAAATCAGCGTGAACAAATCGTCATTGAAAAAATAATTAAAGTAATCAATAGGCTCGACTCCCATTACTTCGCCATAAAATTCATTAGATTTTGTAAAATCAAATTTATTTAGGTCTCCCGTAGTTGTCAATACAGAAGTTGAGCCTGCTATAGAGGGCTGATATGCCTGGACTTGACTTTGATTGTCTAGTGATGAAGTGACAAAAGGCGAATTACCCTGCAGGTCTTGATCTTGAGCTATGGGCGAGGATGTTCGATGTCCCGGAGGACGTAATTCAATATTGTAAAGTTGCACCTCACCTTCACTTTCAGACGCTGACTCCTCCTCACTAGGCTGGTAGTCGTCTTCCGAGTGATCAGCGAACAATTCCTCCTCTATATCACTGTCCTCTAAAATCGTAAACATTTGTTTTCGCTTTCTATTAATTCTATTAGAATCAGAAGTTCCTTCACCGGGATCCATTTTTATTGTTTTTTATTTCGTCCACGCAAACACAACCGTCCAACTTATCAAAAAACCAAAAACACGTTACGAAAGTTCGGAATTTCAAGCACAGTGCCACTACAAACAAAACGTGTCTTGCCCGATGCCGGCGGCGCACTGAGTGTAGGAAATTTCATAGACGCTAGCCCGCACCGGTGCGTGGCCGGCACCACGCGCCACACCCCCTTCCCCGCACCGGTGCGTGCTCGGCAGCGAAGCTGTTAATTCCAACAGCTTTGTATTCCGATGTATGGCGTAGACTCTTCCTAAAGCGGCGTCTTTTTTAATGCCTGAATGACCAACTACATTCTCATCACGTTTTCTTCTGTAAAACTATTATTGGGCCATGTGAAGTATTTAGGGACTTCGTGGGAAAGAAGAGTTTTTGCAAATTCATCTCTACTACAAAGATTAAAAAATGCGAGCAACGTGGTGTTACGTGGGTTTCGAGCTACTTGATGAGCAGTTCCTGCTGTAAAATATACCTTTGGTCATTTTCTAAATGAACGGCGTCATTAAGTCGTGACGGTCGAATAATCTTTGACCGGGTAATAGTTTAGCTTTAATTCTGGATTGCACTTTGTGCTTTGTGCTTTGAGTAACCCGAAACAGTGCTCAATGCAGTTACGTCCTTCTTGAGAAAGGGCTTCGAAAGTCGATTTGTATATTCGAAAGTGCTGCACACATAAAGTTACGTATTGTCTCCATGCTCTGACTTTATGACTTTATTTCGGCGCCTAAACCACACTTCTTCATTATAAGCACACCACAACATATTCAAAGTATTATTTAAAACGGTAAACATTGTCCAAAATTATGGTAAACAAACAAACCATTTAACATTTTAGAAACGATTACATTCCATTCTATCACTTTGAACAATTGTCAACTTGGCTAAGACTTTTTTATTCGTTTGTTTTAACCACGTGACTTAACGATGAGATGATGTCATTCCCATACATTTTATTACTTTTCTAGTAGAATGTCAACTTGGCTAAGCCTGCTGCTGTTCTTAATAACTTTACTGGCAACTACGTACCTTTCGATTTAGACAGCATTCAAGACAATGAAAATCAGAACCAATATACTGTGGCTTCTTCTAGCAGTGAACCGACTGGGAATAAACAATATACTGTTTCTGAAATTGGTAACTGCCAATTGAATAAAATTTTAAAATATCAAAACATTTCCGACTGCAGCGGCAGTACATTGTTACAATGTACCCTACTTAGTTACAAAAATAATATGTCAACATGTTCAAACTTAGAACCATCGAACGTAAGTGAACATAACGCTGTGAATAAGTTTAATAGCCTTATTGAAGGTAACCAACAAGTGCCCATGATAGAAACTACTACTACCAGTCTGGAAGACGAAACTACTACGGCAAATGTTATAAGTACGGTGAGAAAACTAACTAGAAAACGGATTTGAAACGAAAGTGAAAGACAGGACCAGAAAAGTAAAAAACTAAAGAATTCAGGAGAAGCTTAAGAGAAGAGAAAGAATCACACAAGCCCAAAGAGAGACTTTATTGCAGCAATACTATGCACTTGGAGATCATGAGCTACAGTGGCAATATATTACAAACCACACAATAGCCGAAGACGTAAAGAGAATAACTGTGGTTTAAAGAACAATCGTACTCAGTCAATTAAATACTATTTTCAATTAGACGGGCAGAAGATGCATGAATGCAAAACCTTTTTTGTCAATACTTTAAGTATTTTGCAAAAAAGTCAAATCTGATAAAGGCTTAGTTGCTAACAGAGGGCTGCATATAAACAGGCCATTCAATTGTTCCCTGTAGTCGAGTCACATTATGTAAGAAAAGATTCTGCCAGACAATATCTGTGAGAGCTACTTAATGTGAGTAAAATGTACCGTCTATATCAAACTTGGGTCCAAGAGAGAAATTATGACTGACAGATAGCTTTTAAACAGTAATATGAAAACATTTTTAACACCAAGTTCAATATTTCATTTTTTAAACCAAAAATAGATCAATGCTCCAGTTGCTACCTGTTAGCCTTGCAATGAGGTCAACAAATAAAAGATAGTAATATATAATAAAAATTATAATAGAGACACAATGACCGCGGAGCACGTTTGGTGGAGCCCGTGTCTTTACCCGATTCGGCTAGATCGCGAACTGAATGTTATAACGCGTGTAATCCGCGCTGTATATGAATTTGCTGACGCAGCAGCTTGTACGGGCGTTGCACCGTACATGCTCCCGACCGGAAAGTAATATAAAAAATGACAAAATAAATGCTACTATTATTTTAAACAAGTGCATCTGAAATGCTGAACACTCTCCGAGGTATCGGCGAAGTCGCAAAGTCCTTCATTTCTGTCTTATTGTCATTTATCGCACTTGCACTAATACACTGCACATTCGGGGGGCGATGTGCCCTTCTTTGCCTACGCGCACTCACTACACTGACACTGCTGGTGGGCGTGGCTGGCACGGGGAGCTCTCGCATAGCGCTCTCCTGCGCATTCACCCGACGTCGTCTGCGCCTCCACAGGAACACCGCGACTGCTGCTATTGCTACTATCACTAAGCCGTAACTAATGGCATAGTGATGTACGTGGTGATAGAATGCCGAATCGTCTTCTAAAAGCGTTACAGTTTTTAGACGTTTAATCCTTTCACCGAGTTCTTGTACTCGCAAGTGGATCTCCGAGTCAGTAGTTTCATTCCCATATGAGCTCGATGATATATTGAGAATATGGTTAATTGGTGCTATCTGTGGGCTGTAAACGTCTGAACTAATTTGTAGCGTTGATAGTTGTGTATTATGAGCATATGCAGTGAAATGCTGTTCTTTCACAATACAGTCTGGCGCAAGGTTAATTATGCAGGTATCATTCACCTGTTCTACGGTAACATGATCTCTACACATAAAGCGGAGTGCACACTGTTCACGCACCCAGCGCATGAATCGTGCCCCTCGCAGGAAGGCGCGCGGAGGGGCGGTGTGACCGACGGCGACGGTCGCGAGCTGTCACTAACTCACTCCACTACCGAACGACGAGCGACGCGCGTGCTTAAATTAACCAACATTGTACTGCCTTCATTTTTATTATATTGTTATACAGTCCACCTATATCTTTTCTTTAACCAAAGAAGAAGCCTAAACATTGGTCTTCGAGCCGTCAATCAAATCCGCGTAACGTTATTTACAAAAGAAGACGTTTGCGCGGGCGCAGTACGGGCGACGTTGGTGAACTTTGAACTCGAAAAAATATTCAAAAGCGTCGTGTCATTGTGAGCTGCGTTCAACGGCAGACAAGTTTGATCGGAGTGACCTTAGAACGGACAAGGAGAGGACGTCTACTGGTTCCCGAGTTTTCACGTCGACGGGTGGTCAAGGGTCGGCTACGTTGGTCGAAACCGCCAAGTCTTCAAGTTGCTTCGTGGGAACATTCATAGTCCGCCTTGTGGATAAAGATAAGCATATTTGTGTATCGTTCCAAGTTCCTAGCTATTTCACTTCCAGTATTTTATCTTTATTTTTCAAATTTAAAAAAAAAAAAACCGTTACAACCGTTACAGTACAGTTTCAAATTTGAGTGAATAGGTGATTGTTTTTTCATCTGATGGATCATTGTACATAAAAGTTTGTTGTGAATCATTTATATTTTACAATAATAGCCGCTCGGAAACCGGTTTGCTATCGCTTCTTTGTTGTGGGTCGCACAGCTGCTTGTTGAAATATTCATATTATACTACAGTAAGATTATTTCGCACCATCTAATCAGAGCTATATACTTTATATACATATATACTGCCTTTCTGTTTATATAAAACCGGCTTCTTGCAATGGCTACCGATGAGTTATTAGTGAGAAAACGTAGTGCTATGAAAGCTAAGCTCACTAACTTCTGCAACCATGTTAACGTGCTTCTTAGTTGCGAATCACTTTCCAGCTTGCAGCGCATTGAACTAGAGGGTCGCCTTAGTAAATTTGATGCCTTATATAATGAATTTGACAGTTTGCAGTTGGAGATTGAGGTGCTCTCGGACAAGCCAGACGAGGCGTACGGAGAACGTACCAAGTTTGAAGAGCGTTACCATGCAGTGGCAGCTCAGGCGCGTAGTTTGCTGTTCGCCGACGCCGGCAATGACGCCACGTCTGTGGTGGGCTCGGCAGGCAAAAACACAGGTGCATCGTTTCCTCGAAATTTTGTACGCTTACCTAAGATTGATTTACCCCAATTCGATGGTAGTTATCAGTGTTGGCTTGAATATAGAGATATTTATATTTCTTTAATTCATAATAGTAGTAGTATCGATGACATTAGCAAATTCCACTACCTACGTGCATCGCTCAAGGGAGATGCTCAGCAAATAATAAAAAATATAGATTTTAAGGGCGATCATTACCAAATGGCGTGGAATTTGTTGTGTGAGCGATATGACAATAGCAGGCTTTTAGTAAATAATCACGTACAGGCCTTGTTCAATGTTCCCGCTGTGTGTAAGGAATCGTGTATGGATCTGCGTCAATTTATTGACATTATAAATAAAAACATTAGAGCGCTAAAAACATTGAACGAACCCACCGAGTATTGGGATACACTTTTGCTATATATGTTGACTAACAAAGTAGATACAATCACTAACAGGGATTGGCAGGAGTATTGTAATAGTTTACCTAAAGTACCCACTTTGTCACAATTTTGTTTATTTGTTAGTAAGAGGGCTGATTTGTTGGAAACAGTCGAACGTAGTACACAATCGATTCAAAAGGTAGAAAATACTACTAACAGTTACATAGTAGTTAAACAAAGTTCCAATAGAAGTGATAATGTAAACAATAATAAACAAAAAAAAGATTACAAGAGAAAAAATTACAATAAATGTCCTATGTGCAAAAAAGACCATTTTATGTTTGTCTGCGAGGATTTTCGTAAGTTAACAGTAGAAAATCGCTTGTTAAAGGTAAAAGAGCTTAAGTTGTGCTTTAATT